TACACGATGCATAGTCGAGACAAAGGGACCTATCAATATGCGCTTCTCAACCTTGCAATACTACAGGCAGACTTCGGGTGTTATGGAGAAGCCGTGTCTGCGATGCAAGAAGCCGTCTCAATCGCCCGGGAATCCCATGATATGAGTTGCCTGAACTTCTGCATGAGCTGGTTGTATCATTTTGGAAAAGCCTTTCCAGAACTCATCAAAGATGTTGAAAACACTGGTATGCTGGGCAATGAAAAAGAAGGACTGGCGTTCCTCAAAGCGAAGGCAAAAGAAACAGAAATGTGGAGCTTATTGAGCACCACCCTCCTGAGCGAAGCAAAACTCGAACTACAGAATGTACGTCTTGATGTTCCGTGTCCACTATATGATTCTAACCTAATCAGGGAGAGAGTCTCGCGTCGTCGATCGAGAACGTTGTTCGCGCTTCACATTTAAATGTCACAAAGAACTTGGTGAATTCAATGGGGCCGCAGCTCCTACTCCAAACCGCACTATACTCTAGAATAGGTATTATGCCCTTTTTATACGAGGGAAACCGTATTATCTTGGTTAACATATTTCCAGGAGTCACCCATCTTGCCTGGCTGAGTAGCGAGGTATTCCGCCAATGCTACCGGAACAGCGCGCCTTTTGAAGACTATCTGAAGAGCACATTCCGAAGCTGCCAGCTCGTAAGTTGAGATCTTTACTCGGTACACAAGTTACTCACATTTCGAAGCTAGCGCAACAGGGTCGCTATAGCGAGGTTTCTGCCCACATGACTGAGATGAGCCCTGAAAGATTTCGGTCATTGAAAACGAGCCAATACTGGGCATTTTTTTCGGGCGTTCTTCAGCTTAAACGTAAAATCTACAAGTATGCTCTATTCTCTCTCCCTGCAGCGTTCATGTCTAACAGTCTGCAGTGACGACCAAGTAGCAGCAGGTTATCTGCTGTCACAACTACAAGCCATCGATCTTCCTGACAGCGATTTGTCTTTCCTATTGTCCTTCTTATCCGTTGAATTTATGATCCGCCAAGCCAACTATGCGCAGGCGCTGGATCTTGTTGAAAAGACTGCGCAATCAATTCACCAGGACAACTTCGATATCCAGCCCCAAGTCAAACTGCTATGTCTCAAGGCTCGCATATTTGAGAAAACAGGCCAGCCTGAACGGGGATTCTCTATGGCCATGAGGGCTGCAAGCACTGCCTATCGCTCGAAATTACTCCCCGGCCTCTGGGAGGCCATTTGTGCATTAGCAAATGTTCTTTTGAGTCTCAAAGAGTTTGACGCTGCCTCAGTGATGATCGAGAGTATCATGCCTCAAATTCTGGAGTCAAGCGATTGTGATCTCGCGGCGTCTGCGTACTCCCTTCTAGTAGATGCCAACATGGGTATCGCCGGCAAACTCTGGAGCGAAGGGAAGAATACACCCACCAAGAAAGAATACATGAACCGGGCCCTGGGCTACCTGGATTGTGCCTATGATCAATACGAGGAAATTGAGGATATCAGAGGGCAGTGTGAGATGATGGCTAAGAAAGCTACCGTGATGCATCTAACCGGCGATTCGGTTCTTGCCAACGATTATGCTGCGAAGTACCTAGACCTGCAAAAACAAAAGGTATCGCAGTGATGAGTTATTATGAAATTATGCTAGCATCGTGCTGTACTAGCCGTAGGCTTGGAATTATTATTGAACTCGCCTTCACTATATAGAATATAAACCACAACAGAATAAACAGCCTATAGTGGAATGGGATGAAAAGGGATTTTACTCATCATTTTACGTACCCAGCTTAAAGCCTTACTCCAGAGTAGTGGACCAAAGTGATAAAAATAGTATATAATGTTCTCCGCCAGTAATTTGGTATTCCGTGCAGGCCAGGTTGCTCAATCGAACTAAAACCCCAGGGAGAATACCCAATTGGAACAAGGTTATGGCAGAGGTAAATCTTCTTCACCAGCATCACCGTAGTCTCCTTGGACCTAGCTTGGAAATCTGCAACACAAGCTTAACCTGGCTTCCCAAAACCATCCATCTTGTCTCCGAAAATACACTGGTGAACTAAGCAGCTAGTACGAGCGTTGAGATCAGTGTTAGGTCGAACGCTAATGAAATCCTTGCGCCTGACAGCTTCATGAGATATGCCTGGTGTGTGGACGAAGGGCTCCTTCGTGCATGGCGTCGCTGAGTGGTACCCTTATAATTCAATGTGCATCCTGGAAGGGCCTCGTGCAAAGGTCCCGCCGATGCCAATGTCTCTGCTGGGTGTGGTTGGCAGAGTATATTGCCCATACTCTATGGTTTGTACCCGATAGAAGCATAGTCGCGTCACGGGTGCGACTTTCACCTTGGGGGGTAGGGAGTGGTCCCGAGGGCCGTGAGCTTGCAATTGGCCGTTCCGGGGGTATGGAGCACGGTCGATGGATGTCGAAAGCTGAGGGAAGGGTACAGTAATGAATGTGGGCTTAAATATCGTCATTGAACGTTGGCATCGTGTATATTCGTGTGAGGTGAGAATTTGAATACTCGTCTTTGGCAGGAGAAGTACACATCTCTAATCTCGTTACATAGTCGAGGAATCCCAATCGTTGGCCCAGATGAAAGTAGAACATCGCCAAGTAGTTCCTTTCTCCTTATTCCCGCTCGGTCCCAAGGGTCTGGGACAGATCCAGAAGGAGCGACCAAAGTTCACCCCAGGCTTTTTAGTTTTCAGACTAATGCATGGCTCATCGTGGCCTTCGCACGTGGGGGGCGGCTTCTTAGTAAACAGCTTTGACCAAACCTGTTTGCTAGCAACGGGGTCGATAAAATCTGTTTGTTCTTTAGATGATGCCGAAGTAGCCGGCGTTGACGCATTGGATTCATCAGCATCAATGCCTTGCACCATTTCCGTACTTTTTGCACCTGTTACTTGTTGGCTGCAGATTTTAGACGGGCTTCTGAACAAGGCTGTTTCTCCGTCCTTGAGAGATCTGGGATCCTCCTGATCAGTGTCGGGTGTGCTTTTTGCCTTAAAAAATCCCTTCAGCGTACTCTGCCCAGCGGTTGGTGTGACTGCCTGATTACCTGCAGACTTTGAACGCTTTACGGGAGGATTCTCTGTCCTGACGGGCCGTTTGCGCACAGTGCCCTTTGACTGGTTAGGATCGGGCAATACGACAGGGAAGCCTCCACTCAAACCCGTTGGGGGAAGGCTGGTAGACTCTGCGGCTGCCTTGGTGTTTTCAGATGATGGCGTTGGAGTTGGTTGCTGAATAGAAGACGATCTTTGTGATGGCTGACTAGATTTACGCATGAACATATCTTTGATGTTTCTCCGTCTATCGAACTCCGGTATCAGTCGTCCCGACAGTGGTAATAACAGCTTTGCCGTATAGTCTTGTTGGCGTGCGCCGTTTCGAAACAGCCCTGGTGGGTTTACGACATCATAGATATTCGTTTCGCCTTCATCGAGAGGCACAGTGTCCTTGAAAACAGCATATACCGGGCAATGGTCCGAACCCTAGATGCCTTCATTAGCAGGGTTATGTTTCGGTTTCTGCTCAGACCTTACCATGAGCCCTTCTTGGATATTAGAGTCATTGAACCAATCCTGCATGCCCAAGCTGCAAAGGACGTAATCTATTCTTGAACCGTAGTTGCCGGGCCGAGCATTTATTCTCTGCTCCCAACAAGTATACATGCCCTTGCGCTCAGGGTGAAAAGATCTGCATATATCGAAAAGAGCTGGACGTTCCCTTCCCTCATCTCGGTCACCCAAGACTTTACCGTCAGACAGTAGGTGATTGAATAGGCGCCGCGCCGGGGCAGATACAAAGTCGTCTTCCGTAATACCTCCTTTTTTGATATTTTCTGCTGCATGCGCAGCATCGATCTCGCCTCTTGAGATATTAATATCACCAGTGACGAACACACGTTTGCCCATAGCGACTAGATTTCGAACCCGAGCATCCATCAAATCTAGATAATTCTGGCGAAATGCATCTCGACTCTCATCCCTATTGGCGGGGCAATAGATGCCTATAAGTACAAAGGCAGGGAACTCAAGTAAAACACAGCGTCCCTCGGAATCGAGGGTCTCTGCGTCTAATTCGAGTTGCGATAATTGCTCTATCGTTGGATAACCGCCGATTTGCTGATCTTCAGGAAGGTCCCTGAATGACGCGGATGAATTTGGCGGGCATAGGGTTCCCGTCAGCCCCTCCTCAGCGCGGATGGGAGCACATGTCGCATTGCGTGTGTATATTGCGACGCCCGAATAACCTCGTGAGATGTCAGTACCCGATCGTTTGTAGACTCAAGGGGACCGACCTTTTTTAACTCTAGGTAGGCTAAAGTAGCAATCCCACCCGGAAACAAGAACCATATCATCTCTAAGGTCCTTTCGTTGGATTTTGGTTTCCTGAAAAACGACAATATCGGCTTCCAGTATATCAAACATAGACTGTTTGAAACAAAGTTAACGGAGTCTGTAGGGAGAAAGAGGACAATTTACCTCAAATGTACGTGTACTCCTCCATGGCTCATACGAGAATGGATTCCTAATCAAAGTTAGGAGGACACGAAATAAATCACAGGCTTGATATTTACTACCGACCTAATGCCGTTGACTGCGAAAACAAATGCATTAGTATGGCAATTTTGGCAATAATGGAGGCAGCTCACCGTTCCATGTCGTGATACGAAACCCCATCCCTGCTGCTACATGCCCAAACTGTGCATATTACTCAGAAGACGGTGCTTGACATTAAGAGATGCCCTCAAACTCGGTTTGATTGATCAGAAGGGAGCAACAGCACAATTTCACGTGATCTCAGAAGCGTGACATCACGGGAGGTGCAGGCTGCTGACATAACGACGGAACGGTTGTGGCCGGAGACGAGCGAATCACGGGAAGCGCTAAGCGGCTTTTGTCTGCCCACCCGAGTCGACATCGTCTGATATTCCCACCTTTGAAGACCGAGATACAGCTGTGAGCCATTCGCTCTTCGTTCAGCAACAATGATTCCTCAGCGCAGTGCCCTTCGCCTTGCCCAGCGTTCCGCTCCGGTTCGCTCTGCCCTTCAGCGCCGTTTCAACAGCGCGCAGTCCAAGATCCCGTCCTGGGCTGTCGACAACGAGTTCAACCGCGAGAGAGCCGCTGTTAAGCACCACGCCGCCTCGACTAGCAGTATGTTTTACTTTTCCTGAGCCTCTACAAGCCTATTCCGAGCTTGCGATTGAAAAATTCGGATGATGCTAACCCATTGGAACTCTAGGTCTTTGGCTCAAGCTCTCCATCTTGTATGTCATGCAACCGATACCCCCTCTCCAAATTGGATGCAGTCGTACTCATATTACTTCAGTGCCGTTATCCCCACTTTGATTGGCGGTGGCTGGAACGCTTACAGCCAGTGGAACGAGCACTGGGAGCACTGGGAGCACATGCCCCCGCTCGAGGAGCGCACTGAGTACCCCTACCAGAACATCCGCTCCAAGAACTTCCCCTGGGGGGATGGTGACAAGGTCAGTTTATGAAATGTCTTCGAAGATATGTGCATATTAGATTGCTAACTAATTCGGTACTGCAGACCATCTTGTAAGTTCCGTTCCTATCAGCTACGCGCTGTCGGACCGAACCGAGCTCCTTCGCCGTATTTCTATGGTCAATTACTAACTCTGCGCAGCTGGAACAGCAGCGTCAACTACCACAACAAGGACAAGGCTACCTAGATAGCACCGTGTGGAACTAGGACTATACCGATTCCCGAAAACGAAGGACATGTACATTTATCCAGAAAAAGAGGGAGCGTCCAAGAAATAAAGTCCCGAGCCAGTCGAGTGGTCGCCCATCACTATACTTCTTTGAGTTTCCTTTGTATGCTATAAACTCATTTGCTGTTTGGAATGCACATTTTATACAAGCACCTGGTTATTTCCATACCGCCAAGACCTCGTCCTCGAGAAGTCTTGAGTACGTCTATAAAATTATCCATGAAACCCACTTTGCAGATACTGTGAGTTGGATTCAATAATGCAGGGAGTCTTATGTAGAAAATGGGATACGCCTGAACGTTTCGGGGTTGACCGAAGACCAATCCTCTACGAATGCACCCAGATGCGATCTTCACGTAGGTAACGATGTAAATATGGAAGATGACGAAGGCTTCATGCGTACTGAGGTTGGTGCCTGCGCGTTGCTCGTATAACTGTTCAGGTGACGCCATGCGCAAGAGGAAAAATCGGGCGCCCCGGGTCGGTGGAGGAAGGCCGAGCGGGATTGTCGGCCAGCCCAAGCTCCGATACGCTACCTTGACGGCAATGTTCCATGGCAGGGAAATGTATAAATACGACGAACGTGAACTTGAACTTGGAACATATATAGATACCTTCAAAACTTTTATATTACCGTCAATTATCAAATCTACATCCCGAATCAAACCACGTTGTGGTTTTGGTTATTCCCTGCACCCGCCATACCTACTAGTACATCGTCTATACCTCCGTCAATGGCGCCCCGTCCAGACGTCTTGATCATCGGCGCCGGCCCGTCTGGTCTTGTCACAGCCTTGTGGTTAGTTAAGCAAGGCATATCCATCCGTATTATCGATAAAGCAGAGGCCGATGTAACTACCTCTCGGGCGTTGGCCATCCAGGCACGAACCCTGGAACTATATCGCCAGCTCGAAATCGCGGAAGATGTCGTCTCAAACGGGCACAAGATTGCAGCCACAAACGTCTGGTCTGAGGGCACTCACCGGGGCCGGATACCCATTGGCGATATCGGTACTGGGTTGACGCCATATCCCTTCATCCACATTTTCTCTCAGGACCAGCACGAAAAACTCTTGGAAGAACGACTCAACTCGCTCGGTGTCCAAGTCGAACGACACCGAGAGCTTATAGACTTCACGGAAAACGAATCATCGATCACTGCTCGGTTGAAGACCACGGATCCTAATGCTAATGGGGGTGACAATGTTGAAACCTGCGAAGCAACCTTTATTGTTGGCTGTGACGGAGCCCGTTCGGCTGTTCGCCATATCTCCGGAGTTCAATACGACGGCGCAACGTACTCACATATCTTCTTTGTCGCTGATTTCGAGGGAAGCGGGCCATCACTGAATGGTGAAGCACATGTTACCTTCAACCAGTCTGAGTTTATGCTGCTGTTTCCATATGATGACAGCAGCCGAGGCCGCATTTCTGGGGCCATTGATGATGAAACTGCGGAGAAAGGCACCGATATCACCTTCGATGATGTTGCTCCAAGGATGGAAGAAACGCTGAAGCTGAAAATCGACAAGCTGAACTGGTTTTCGATTTATCGAAGCCATCACCGTCTAGCATCTGCCTTCCGCAAAGGCAGGGCGTTCTTGGTTGGCGACGCGGCACATATTCACAGTCCTGTCGGGGGACAGGGAATGAATACCGGTATTGGAGATGCAATCAACCTGGCATGGAAGCTGGCAGCGGTCATCAAAGGACAAGCCGGTTTATCGTTACTCGACAGCTATGAGACAGAACGTCGCGCGTTTGCGAACCAACTAGTCAACACAACTGACAGCGGTTTCAATGCCGTTATTTCGCAGAGCTACTTCGCGCGGACCCTGCGAACATACGTCCTGCCTTATGTTGCACCATTGCTTGCCAAAATTGACTATGTCAGACACAATGTGTTCCGGAAGGTTTCTCAGATCATGCTAGATTATAGACAGAGTATGCTGTCAGCCGGTGTTGCAGGCTATGTCCACGGCGGAGATCGTATGCCGTGGGCCCGTGTAGGAGACCTTGACAACTTTGAGAGCCTGAAATCAATTACCTGGCAAGTCCATGTTTATGGAGAGCCCAAGCTGGAATTGACACAATGGTGCCAGGACAAGAATATCCCTTTACATGCTTTCCCCTGGGACGGGCAGTATCAAACAGCCGGGCTGCAAGCTGATGCAGCGTACCTGATCCGCCCGGACACTTATGTGGCAGTTGCAGAGCCGTCGGGATCGTCTCAGAGATTTGACCAGTACTTCGAAGACATCGAACTGCAATGGCTTTAAACGTTGCTCCTTGTTTTTTAATGTTTCCCCTTTGATACTTTATCTTTCTCCACTCTTCGACCGGCGGCTTAGCTAGGCGTTCAGCTCCAAATAATTACCCAAGGACGACCCTGTTTTGATTCCACATTGTGGCTCGCCGTATAGATCTTGTTGCGTGAGAACAATGTAGCTTAATTTACAAGAACTTAAGAAGCCAGTGATGGGCGATCTCCAGGGGCTGTCCAGCCCCAGTCTTGGCGGGCTGTGCGTCCCGGAAATCTGACTGACTCCAAGGCCATTAATTGCGACAAGACACCGATTTCACAACGCTGGCGTCCATTCAGCCTAATGTGACCAGCCAGGCTTGTTATCGGGCTCGCTTTTACTGTTGCAAGTTCAAATGCATCTGTCAGATGTATGCAGGTCCGTCATCCATGGACTTTCATTCCTGATCTCTGTTGTCATCCGGGATCTTTCGCGTTACCCCAAGCTCCGTCGTCGCCTGCTTCAACTCTTCCTGGCCATCTTCGTCATTTGGAGCACAGCAGATGTCTTTCTGGTGCACCGGCACTTTAATGAAGAGCAAACCCACCTAGATTACAAACCCTTGCGTCGACAGCGGATATTCATCGCTAGTGCTCTCTGGAATAACGAACGGTCACTACCAGGTCATTGGGGCGATGTAATTGTCGACCTAGCCAATGTCTTCGGATCGGATAATTTATTCGTTAGTGTACATGAGACTGGAAGCAGTGATGGTACAAAGGACGCTCTGCACAACTTCGATAAGAAGCTGGAATCGGCGAATATAGGACGAAGCATTGCTTTCGCTGACCAGCCTCCTGACGACAAAGCATTGTTGGATCTGAACCCGGCTGATCCGAGGCGCATCTCTTATATTGCTGGACTGCGAAATAAGTCTCTTCGGCCGTTATTTCAGCTCCGAGATGATGGGATATTTTTTGATCGAATTTTGTTTCTGAGTGATGTCTTCTTTACCGTGAGTAGTGCTCGCCTTTTGGGGTTACTTCATTCCAGCTAACGTGTACGCAAATCTAGAAAACAGACGTCATCTCCCTTTTGAATACGAATTACGGGACATATACTGCGGCTTGCTCTTTCGATATAACGAAACCTTCGACCAAGTCCGACGCACTTGCTCTACGAGACGTGGATGGGTATGAACAAGTCATGCAAAAGTGGCCCTTCTTTCGTGCAGCCGAGTCAAGAGACCCCATGAAATACATGCTGCCAGTTCCCGTTAGAAGCTGCTGGGGTGGAATGGGTAAGCAGGCCGAAATTATTGTAGAAAAATCTCGACGGAAGTAGTGCTAACGCCTGACGCTTTAGTATTCATGGGCACGGAGGCAATCTATTCCTCCCGGCCAATTCAGTTTCGAGGGATACCTGGTGGTCTCGCAGATAAGAATGCCGTGGCTTCCGAAGGTTGCCTAATTCATGCGGATAACCCGTTCTCCAAACGAAGGGGCGTTTACTTGAACCCCTTTGTTCGGGTAGGACATAGTGCGGCAGAACACCCGGCGGGTCGCTCTACTGGACACTGGCTCTCTACTTGGCAGATATTCGAATCCATATGGGAGAATCGTTTTCGCCGCTTTATCCATCCTCCGTTCCTAGAAGGGTGGTCCGTACAAAGCCGCCTTTCTGCTTGGATGGCTGAGGATGAGAATAATAGTGAACGCGGCGATTACTGCCTCGCTGATCAAACGCAAGCTATGGTATCTTGATATACGCAAGATGGCGATTGGCAGGTGCGAGAGCGATTTGAAGATCGGAAAATGGCCACTGATCTCTTATACCTCACACTGCTGGTCAATCATTGCGTATTGCAGTGCGAAACAGCTAGCTCCGGAATCCCCCTGCTGGAGTACATGCTCTGAAAAGGCCGAAGTGACTGGCCTAGTGGGCTGGGCAAACTCCGTGTCGGAATAAATGGCCTGGGGATGTTCTGGTAGGTTAGAACATCTGCCTTGTCAAGTCTCCGGGTGATCTAGAATCACGAAACGATAAGTGCTCGGCTTAGAGAGTTAGCCAGCGGGATGATATTAGCCGACTAGCCCACTCAATTGTATAATTCTGTGAAGCATATTCTGCATGATGCACTGTGAATGATTTGAATAGATAATTTACTTGATTAAACCTCTTGGTAAATTACTCCGTACGTAGTACTACATTGTATGCCTGGATCTATGCGATTGGGGCCTGAGGCACCAAGCTCCGATTCCGCACCCGCCCTCATACTTCTCCGAATGACCCCGCCAAAAAAAATCCCAGTGACGCAGACTATTCCAGATCTCGTCTCTGCTTCCAATTCTCCCCAAATATTCACAATGGCCTCTTCTCTCACAACGACCGACCTCCAGGGGTCCCTGCCCCTCATTGCCCGTGGCAAAGTCCGCGACCTGTACGAAGTAGACGACAAGACCCTCCTCTTCGTCGCAACCGATCGTATCTCCGCGTACGATGTGATCATGGAAAATGTACAACCCCTCCAGACCCGTTCTCCTGCCTAACAACGCCATTTTCAAAGTTTCACCTACTAACAATATCCAGGGAATCCCCGAAAAGGGCATTCTCCTCACCCTCTGCACGCAAAAATGGTTCCAAATCCTCCAGGAAGCCAACCCTACCCTCCGGACACACTTCATTACTCTCGACCTCCCCGCGCAAATCCCCGCCTCGTTGCGCCCCGTACTTCAGAACCGTGCGATGCAAGTCCGCAAGCTGAGAATCCTACCCATCGAGGCTATCGTGCGTGGCTACATCACCGGGTCCGCATGGAACGAGTACAAGAAGTCCGGAACCGTGCATGGGATTCCAGTGCGGGAAGGTTTGAAGGAGAGCGAGGCGTTCCCTGATGGCCCTATTTACACTCCTAGCACGAAGGCCGAGCAGGGGGAGCATGATGAGAATATTCATCCTGATAAAGGTATCTTATCTCTGTCTATCTATCTACATTTACGTCCTCGAACCCGATTCGTTGCAATTGCAATCTGATTTGGATAGATGGCTAATTGGTTTCTGTGTCATTGTACAGCTGTTGAGATTGTTGGTGAACCATATGCTTCAACTATCGCTGAGCTCGCCGTGAAGCTCTATAAGACCGCACACACCTATGCGCTTACGCGGGGCGTGATCATCGCGGACACGAAGTTCGAGTTTGGCGTTGACGAGGAGACGAATGAGGTTGTTCTAGCGGATGAAGTGCTTACGCCAGACTCGTCGCGCTTCTGGCCCAAGGACTCGTATGAGGTCGGACGTGGCCAGCAGAGCTTTGATAAGCAGTTTTTGAGAGATTGGTTGGTTAAAGAGGGATTGAAGGGTAAACCGGGAGTTAGGATGAGCGATGAGATTGCACATAAGACGAGCGAGAAGTATAGGGAAGCTTGGGAGCGAATCACTGGGGGCAATTAGATTGTAGGGGACGGTAGGTTGCGCTACCGAAGTGCTGTAATATGTGTTGTTTAGGATGGAACATCAATTCCAAGATATATATGTACTGTACAATTTCCAAGAATTTGCTCTCGGTTTAATCCCATTCATCACGTAGCCCTTTCAGGCCCTTCCCTTTGTTCTCTTGACTTCCCTGTTTCGCAGATTTAGTATCGTTGTGTTGCGGGACCCAGTTGGTTCGAACCCCTTCATCAACAGGTAAAGCAGCCGTCCCGCAAATTCGCCGTTCTTCTTCGATCTCCGGCTCACTCATCCCGTTTGTGGCCCAGATCCTATGGATACGTAAATCGTAAGGCCCCTCTACTCGGTCCGTCAAACCAATTCCAACACTCTTCACCCTCTGACGGATGATAGACGTCTGAGGTTCCATAACAAGCCCATGGTTCGTTCGGACAAATGAGTTGAACGGCAGGAGAATGGTTTCCCATCCAGTCGAGCCAGATGTCGTGACCGACGATACAGAAGGCATGATTGTAGAGGACGGGGGAATGTCGGAGAGGGAAGGTGGGATACCGCCGGGGTACTTTTCTTCAGCGATTTCAGGCGACTCCGCTGCTTCGGGTGATTCTTGTGGAGAAAGGTAGTCATCGGATGAAGTAGATGAGGCGCGCATGTGGTGATGGCGTGTGTATAATCGGTGCTGATGGATGTCGGTTTCGACGATAGTGTCGGTCTGGATGTTGACGGTGTACCTTCGACCGTCCGATTTGACCCGTAAAGCTAGGTAGGTATAAGGATCGAGGTCCCAATGTAGTCGTCCAAACAGCCAGAGGCCTCGGTCTTGGTTGCGGAAGGCGGCGTATCCTAATGAGAAACTCGTTATTTTCTGATCCGATTTTCTAAATACACAGGGCATGTACCTGTTCTTTCTACCCTCCAGTTGTTAGGGAGCTTCGTGGAAATACTTCCATGAAATCTTGCGTGGGCAGGCGTGTTTGTAGAGGAATCGGCGGGGATATAGTCGAGGCTTGCAGTACTGAACCCTCCCACGGCACGGTCTGCCATCGTCTTGCAGCCCGCAACAGCTGCTTCATCTTCGAAGTCTAGAAGGGAATATGGCTTTGTTGGCGTGTGGAGGGCCTCGGTGTTCCAGGCTAGCTCAGCACATTGCAGTTAGTTTCTCCAGTTGAGAGGCGATTTCGGAGGCGCAGGGGACGCACCAATCCTTGACAATCTACCAATTTCCTCCGCGCTTCTTTTGAGAAACCCGGGGGGCTTGGCTGCTAAGCACCTTGCTGTTGGAAACATGTCGAATCCCGGAATTGGGGTCGATCTGGAGGCTATGAAGCAGTTCTTGCCTTCAGGAACTGAGAAGAGAGGATCTCGACACTCGGGATGCCTGAGGCCGGATGACGTCGGCAGGCCTCACCGCCATCGGCAGTATGTTGCTTATCAGATGCGTGCTTGCTTTCTGGCTGGCCGGATTTCTAAATCCAGACCAAATGATGGAGATTGAAACAGCACAAGAGGGTGGAATGAGCACTGGGCTGTTCACTGCCGCATAATTTTGATTTACTTGAGTATATATGAAGCTGTATATTCTGTACGAGCACAGTGCTCTCGAACGCTCACCCATACCCTACAACAAACTGAAGCCCAACACTCAGCTAGATGATACATAATGATCGCCCTTTTCTGTTTGTGACCACCACTGATTCCGAATTCTTCTGAGTTGCTCGCGCTTTCCAAGATGCGGTTTAAAGGCGCCTTCCTTTCCTTGTCCAGACTAGGGGGATATTCTTCATTGCGCTATCTCGCCCGTTGATTCCCTAACTGGCTCGTTGTCCATTCTAGTATAGCATATAGCTGTCATTCACTTGCTCAATACAATATTTTAATCATCATTATCATGTGCTCGGACGATGATCCTATACCGCCCGAATATAGGCCCCAATATCCGTGGCCATCCCAAGCTACGCCGCCGCCTCAAACTATGATATCAATTCCTCAGAGGCCCACGGCTCCTTTCCATAGCCATCCACCTCCTCCATACTATAGTACAAACTATCTTCAAGCACCTGTTGCGGCCCCTCTGTATTGGTCCTCCTATGCCACCTCTTCTCACCCACAGATCCCATCGTCTAACCGTCTCTCACAAGGAGCCCAGCACCCCAATATACTCGAGGGAAATGTGCTCTCCGACATAAGTACACAGTATGATTACAACACTACCTGTGTCTTCGTCAAGAAGTGAGTCTTAATTGAAGAAAATTAGCCGCCTAGTGCTATATTAAAATAGGCCAGTTTGCCACATGATGTCGACAATGAAACGATTAAAGACGTTTTTAAAGACATTGGCAGTTTCACTGTGAGTATTGGACGCACAAGAAGGGGATTGACTATTGCCTATGTTCAATTTTTCGTAAGAATACCATGTATCGCTTTGCTTTGAAAGCATCAGGTATACATTAACTAAACTCACAATAGACTAGCGAGCACGCTCAGCAAGCTCTTATGAAGAATCGGCAAGTTGTTCTCAAAGGGCTCGCTATCGAGGTTCAGCCTTACCAAGAGCGCCCAAAAAGAGGACGGTCAAGCGGAACGGGGTCAGGCGTTGCGACATGATATCTATATCGGTTTTAATGGAGCTGTTCTGAGAGATATATGGTATTAGAAGCATGGTGGGGATAAGTGTTCGGGATTTTATTTTTGGCGCACCTGTTTTTGGTGTTCTGTTTGAAGCCTAATCCTTCCTACAGAGTTTCTATCCAGCATGTAAACTGGGTTGGAAACTTTCCGTTGCATTGTTGAAGTTGGAACGGCCGAGGTGGCATTTGCTCTTCTATCTTTGGTCTGCGTTTGAAAAAGACATCTACTATTTAGATGGGCAGCTCTTGTATAAGGGCCGGTTCAGGGGTGTTCAAAGCTAATGGATTGTACGTGTTCAATGGCATAGCATGTCGTTAGTGAAAGAGAAAATAAAAACAAAAATGCAAATCATATGTGAGCCCTGTAGACAACCAGTTCAGAGTAAACGCCGATTCTATATGTACGACTCGAATGGAGCCATCCAAACAGTGTATGAAAACCAAAATGCAAAAAGGTAGCCGCACAGCATAGGAAGGATTAATAATAGAATAAAATGGACAACCGCCATGCGAATAGCCTGATTGAAACATGCGCGTAGACATGAATAAGCAAAACATGAGCTCAAATATGCATGGTATCATGAAGGATAAACGGGATATCGTGGAACCCGAGAGGGAGAAAAATGAAGAAAATAACCAACTCAACGCAGCATATATATGCGATCCAAACAAATGAGACGGAAATGAAAGGGTTCAATCCAAGAAGAATGGTATAGGAGCTGGAGACAAAAGGATGGTGGAAAGAGATATATTTAAGCCCTGACACGCCTGGCGTCGAAAAGCTTTAGGCTCACAGCGGTGTCATTCACACCGAGGATTGGGGCAGCGTCCTCGAGAAGCTCCCAGGGCCGTACTGGATAGGGCCCAATAATACGACCGCGGTGTTGAATTCGAAGACGGTCCGCGACAGAGTTTGTGCTCTCAGATGATCCTGGGACGGATCCTGTCGAAGCAGCCACTTGTTGTGATTGGTTCGAGGGTCCGGCCGAAGCGTTCCCGGACGGGGTGGGAGTGGGAGTAGAGCCGCCAGCAGCAGGAGACGAAATAGAGGCAGGAAGTTGGGAGTTGTGTGTTGTCGTGTCCGCCATGGGACCTAGAAGGTATAAGAATCGATGGTCGTTCTGGAATTGGAGGAAGGGGGGGCATTTCTCCTTGAGGAAGCGCCCGCACTGCAGGCGCGCTTCATCCGGGAATGAATCGATGAGAGATGCTGCAACGTCTAAAGCATGGGTCTGCAACAAGATTCCGGGACACGGTCGGAAGTTTTTAGGTTGTACAGTGTGGGGGAAGTAGTTGGCGGTTGGAAAGAGGTGGATGATGTTATCTGGCAACCGTGCTAATGAAATGCAAAATATTGACACAAGCAAGCGGGTTTGCTCCTGCAGGCTACCAGCTTTATGCCCATGAGACGCGGGCGCATTGAAAGCAGTCCGATGAAGTACTGTCATCCTAAGCAAGGCAGAGAACCAGAACGCGAGCGATCGCTCGAAGTTGAACCTGGCCATGACCACTGGACCTGAGCTCGACACGTTTCTATTCTCAGCGAAGCTGTTCGTATTTGTCTGCATTATGATGAGCTTTTGGAGGAGAAGATCCAGTCTCTCCACAAGAAGAGGGGTCACTGATGGAACCCCAGCCTCGGGAATGTTATGAGCCAGTTTCTCTATGATTGTAAGGTATAGTTTTGCGCTGTCAATCGCGTCTGTACTGGCCGCTCCATCGGATGATATCAGATCATCGGCGGGTTCGTCAAACATTGCAACGGAAAAGAAGCCGCTTTCCGCTCGTTCGCGAATCTAAAAAATGTTAGTAAGAGCGGAACCTAGAGAAATAATCGCTGCTGTAACATACTTGTCGGGCTGCATCTTGATTCATTAGGTTGACCAGACCCACCCAATGGGATTTCTTTGATCGAGAATCCGCTACTGCAGCCTTGAACATCACATCGACGATATTGTTCTTCACCTCGTCACCAGGATTCGCGTGAAACAAAAGCTGGAGCTTCAATTGGCAGAATGGAAGAGAAAAGTCGTTGTTCATGAGAATGACTTGCTCAGCTTGTGCGCTGGGATCTACATCTATATAAGAATTAGTTGATGGAACATCCAAGTTTTCAACCGGGGCGACAAACCATCTTGGGAGTCGAAGCGCAGGAGAAGGTCAACGGCCTTCCCTAGAACAGTCGTGAATGACGAGTTGCCTGTTAATTCGCGCATACAATATTCTGCCACGCTACTCGAATTTTGAGTAAGTAAAGAGCGTAGTAATTTTGCCGTGCATGCCTGAAGGTCAGGACGCCTTGTCCCCAAAGTAGCATCTTCAAGGGAATCAAATAGCGGGATTGCGTCGTTGATTATGCTCAAAGTCTCATCAGAGTATTTGACAAGAAACTCTTGCTGAGCTAGATGAAAGCGATATGTGACCTATTAACAGACATCAGTGGCGAGTAATTTCAGAAGGGACAGCACTAAGCATACCAGGTCTGTATTGGGTTCGCTTTGTGGGATAAGAAGTTCAAGGACATCCAAGCGCAAGCTAGACATATTAGGGATTGCTGGTACTGCATTCTCAGGAGCTGAAAGTTTATTGACCAAGAGTACGAAGCTGTGAATCGTGACGCACCCAACTCCGATGAGGGGGGCAAGTATTCGAGACATTGTAGGCCGAGATGAAGACTTCAAAAGTCCACAAACGTACCGTACTAACATGATATCGAAATATTTGGGACTGAACGGTCGTAAATATGCAAGATATCTGCAAGCATCCTTCGCGGACAATTTCGTGGTTCCACTGCCAAATGTCAAGATCTTGGTGAGTGAATGAAAAACAGAACCCAAGGTGGACTCGTCTATTCCGTTTCCACAAGACAACAGCTGGTCTAATTTTTCCTGGAACGAGGCATCGGTATCGCTGAAAGTCGTCGGGATATGATCTGAGAGTGGCGATGGTGCTGCTAGCGCCGATTTGCTCTCAATTCGAGCGAGGTCCTGGCGGAGAAGAGAAACAGTACCGGACTCTTCAGGAATCCGCAGTCCAAGCTCAATTAATGAGAAGGTGAAATCCAGATTTAGCGTCCCGAATCTCTTGAGACGTGCATAAGCGCCGACCAGTCCCCTGAACAAATCTGATGTCGCTCCAATGATAGACAATGCATCAAAGTGATAATTAACAGTATCAGATGCAGATGCAAGAACCGTGTTGTCATCACACTCGGTGGCTTGTTTAATCACATCAGCAAGGATAGATAGGTCTCCGAAGCCTTCCAATATTTCTCGAACGCAATAGAATTCTTCTGGTATCAAGGCCGAGACTTTGGAATCAATCGAGAAGGGACGTCCGGCAATTTTTCTGTATCATTTAGCGCGGGTGCAGTGTGTAAAATCAAACATTTCTTACCTGGTCGTATCCCTAAGATGCTTAGCCACTCCTTGCCTAATCCATATGCTGACCTCGGACTTGACAGCCCAGGTTAGATTGGGCTGTGGCAGCTCGGTAAATACTTTATTACTATCTTTGACTTGGAAGATATTCGGCAAACGTTGGCTTATCGCCAATTTCAAGTCCTGGATAGTGGAACTTTCTTCCGTCACCGACATGCCAGTACGAGCCAAAAGTGTGTATCGGAGGTTACGGACATGTTCTGGCAAGCGTCCCAGGGGAAGTTGAGTAAGGAGAAGGGTATCACCGGCCAAAACCTAATAAATAAATAAGCGCTGTTTTGACTTCCAGGTTGCGGGTGAGAACACAAACCTCATTATTATCACCACCGGCGTTCCTCGCAACACCTTTAGCCATGAGCCATTGTAGATATCTGCTGATAGAGAAGGTCTGCGACCTGACCAACTCAGATATAACGTGGTAGATATTATCCATATCCAACTGACTCGTATCTTGTACGTTGCTCACGAACAAAATTATATAGGTGTCAATGTCAATACCAGACATTTTCCACTTCCGCAGGAGCCGAGCTGCGGTATATACACGGCGAAGACCAGAACGAAATCGGGTCGCCGACCACTCGAGAAGCTTAGCGACTAGGGTAACCCTATCTTCAAGAGCATTCAGACAGGCTGTCGATGTAGATGATATGTCATGCGACGATCGTATTGAATCAAATAACTGAACAACGCGTTGCTGGGCAGATTGCTCTGTGGATTCCGGTCGAGATTTCGGTAACTGTACTCGAGTATTACGTTCCGCCAGGGTCTCAAATATCGTCTTGTCTGCGGTCTCCTTCATCTTCAAGCAAGAGAGGATAAGGTTTCGGTGCGTCTCCCATAAATTTGGAAGTATTACCGACGAAGTATGTTCAAGCACCAGCTTTCTTATGTAACTCGAAAGCCGGTCAGCAAGCGGTTGCAACAATATCGGCCGCCGCAGCTCCGTTATCTGCCTCTTGTTAACCATATCCTGTTGCTAGTTTTCACAGTCTCCGCCTACCTGACGTAGTTTTTCAAGAAGAACCTCCGCCAATCGCCGCCCGCGTTTTCTGTACCGTAAGAGGCTATCCCAATAAATACCTAGCATAAGAAGCCAAACAGGTATCATATTGAGTGGCGATGCCTCTAAAGAGGCTAGAAACCAAGTGAAATACTGATCGTGGTCAAGTAAACGCTCAAAGAAGAGACGTGCAGTTAGACTGGCTCTGCTTGACGTTAGTAACGCACAAGAAAATGCCAGACTTCATAGACGTACGCGTATGTCATTTTCGATTTCCAACCTGTCGACCCACAGGCTCCTACTACCCCCTCAAGAAACTGCTGTACACCACTCGTCCACTCGCGAACCCATTTTGCTTCCAAGCCTATTGCTAATGAGCCGCTTGTGCCCTTTCTCTTGAAGGCGCGAATCTCATTGGCGCCAACGCACTTCGCAAGCCATACTGCCCGGCTGACAGGGATCAACTTGCTTAGGCACTGGTCAAGAAGTGCCTTGCCCCGAATACCATGGGGGATCGTTCGACTTAATCTGCGTAAAGGAACAGATGGATTGGCAAGATCACGAAGCCAAGCCTCTCGTTTATTATCTGTTAGAGTAACGCGAGGAGGCGGCTTGAAGGTTGATGGCGCATTAACCGTATTGTGATTCTGTCTTTTCTCCAGCGCGGCCATAAAAACCGACGAAAGCATCTGCAAGCCGGAGCGGTGCTTCAGTTGCGCATAGAGTGACGGACGTGCGGTGTTGGACTCGGTCTGGGAAACCTGGGTGCGATCGTAATATCCTTGTTTCACCGTCTGATCGTTCAAGGCATCTTCCGGATGATCTCCAGTCCATGGTGCAAAATCGGCAATTCCTGAAAGGGTTGGAAGGTTGTGTTAGTTGGCGCCGTAGTGAGGCTCCGACAAGCTGGGGATACTCACTATCTCCTTTGAGAGCAGGTGCAATAGATGGTATTTGAACGCGGAAAGGTGTCGTTTGTACTTCTTTGCTGGTTGGGGATTCTGATATTTTTGTCGCATTATTTCCATACTGCTCTGGTGGCGCGCCCTTCCAAGGTAGAGGCGGAAATGGAGGAGGCGACGCTGGCTTTTTACCTTCGGGCGTCAAGCCAGCATCATCCTCCATGACCTCTCCACCGTTGGTTGCCTCCGATACCATAGCCTGGAAAGACCATACCGGACGACCACGCCAAGAGAGCGAGGAAGGCTTCGCATTCGCTATTCCTGGAGTCACCCTTGAATCTCCGCCAGTCGCAGGCGCAGGACTCGCATCTTTTGCGGACGATCCCGCGGATACGTCCAACCTCAATCGCTTCGCCGGGGGCTCCCTCTCCTGCGCATCATTTATACTCGATGTCAGATCGATAACTGCCGGCTGCCCGGTATGTGGCGGAAGGACGGGCGTGGATTGTTGCGTTTCAGACCGGAAATCAGATAGACTCGGAGCCTGAGAGGCGTCCACACGTCCTGAGCCATTATCGAGCTTGCGCAGGGGGTGGCCCCAGGATTGGACGCCGGCAGAAGAGTGAGGTATCATGTCAATCTCATGGTGTATTCAAGCGGCGGGAAATTGATCATTAGGGCAACTCGCTCGGAGGATAGGTTTGCGGTAGATAAGAATATATATACTGAGAGAGAGGAAAGTGAAACTGCTCGAGTATGTATCAGTCAGTAACAATAGGTGTTCATGTTTCCCGCGCAAGCTGTGGATCGATAATAATCGAGGCCGATTTGCTGAGGTCGACTTGGGAAGCGGTAAATAACAACCGCGGAACAGGGAGTGGTTGACTGACGGGAAACAGCAGTGAAGGAGTCCCACAGTGAAAGCGACTTGGATGAAGCACGAAGGGGTTTGGAGGGAGAAAAGAAGCAATCCGGGAGGATGACAGGAAAGGGCCGAAGACGGAGGCCGAGATACTATCGAGAATCTCCAGATAACGTAAGGCCGAGAGAGGAGACAGAGACCATCCTCCAGCTGAGGAGGCGATCTGACCATCCGTCGGAACTGGGAAGGTCGGTAAGGTCGGGTAAAGATAACCGTAATTTGACGTATTCTGGCTTATTTCCGGTGTGATGGCGAGAAAGTGGTGTAATAATACATGTCATGATACATCGACCCATGCTCCAGGTCCAAAGAACTTTAGTATAGTTCTTGAACGAAACTGGGACAGATCATGAGGTGACAGCTGGAATCATTTGTCTGACTCCAATTTTTAGGTGGTTTACATAATAAAATCAAATGGACTCATTCTTGCAGCTTTCCATTCGACTGGATGCACCTACACCGTACAGTTGGCAACTCGCAGGCCAGAGCGATCAAACAGGCCCAAACATGCTCAAAAAAAAGGATTCGTACCTACACCTGCGCGCCATGCATTAGCACGGAACATTATCTCCTTGGGCAATCTGCTGTCCCACCATGGCTTCCCTGTATTATTTATTTCCGCAGGAGGATATCCAAATCCCTCGATCAAAGTAAGCTTGACACGGAACTGTCGGATTCCCGGTAATCCCTTCGTTTGGCTTGGCATCAGATAGAGCAACTTGGACGGAAATCTACCCGCTGGTTGCGAGCTTTGGCATTCCGGTTACAACATCCGTGGGATCAGACAATCGCAAGCTAAGGGAGGTGGCCCGGGTGCTCCCCGATGCCTGGTGGGAGAGAGATCATTTTCTTGGACTGCCTGTTTCAAAGCGAGGGGACGTGGAATGGCCAGCCAGGTACGGAGGAGAATTGGATAGATCGCGATGTTGCAACAACAAAGAATCCCTTACGTACTTTTGCCGAAAGTGCCAATCAGCCGATGTTTCTCGTCCTGTGCTCCAACAACACTCCATCATGAAGCCGCATCCGACTATCCCCACTATTAATGTGCTCTCGGATTGTTGGCCGAAGGAGGTACAAAGCCAGTATCATGCCACACCTGCCACACCGTACGATTCTTGGAAGGGCGACTTCGACCTCAATTTTCTATCAACTATACTGTACGGAGTACGGCAGATATTGGGTTATTATTTAGCCGGACACAGTCACCCGTAACAACAACAATAATAAGCCTATAGACAAACTTTGTCTTCCAAATGAGAGTCAGGAAGGGGCGCCGTACCTCAACAAACTAGCTGCTCGATACAGGCGAGGGTCCTGACCAGCTCAGAACGGGGCGCGGTCAGAGGCAGGAAATGATAAGATGGTGTGTAAATGGGGGTTTTGCGTGCGACCGGAGATCACAAAAGGCACAGATGGTCACAGATCAGCCAAACAAACCAGTTCAGATTGCATTCTGCCGTGCTACCTGGCAATCACACACTGGAAGCGAGTCATCAGCTGGGAACAAATATCGTCCATCCACACTGAGACACAGAACAGCTCATGATTTGACTTCTAGTGTTCCTTGTTTGTCGAGGTACAGCAAGCATATGCCACGCCACCTGCTTTAACCCCGTGAACATTATTGCGTTGAGGACAAACCTTAGTGGGAGAACACATCCTCGACAAGCGGGAGGAAGATCCGCTAATACTCCGGGAGATATGATATATCTTTAACTTTGGAGTCTGGATTGAACCAAAATGTATATTGAAAATGATCACCGTTGGCATTGCTCTAAAGTAGCAGGGCATCCCTAGGAGTAACCTAGAAGATAAATGTATGGTAGACAATGAGAATATGCAGAGATTTTAAAACATACTGTTCCACGGCGAAATAGTCCAAATGAACCGATTTTCCAATATTGCATTAGAAGTTGAAATCGTGGCTGAGGCTGGCTGATAACGATAATACCGCAGACTGACCCCAGGCCGGGCGGCCGGGGGCCGAGCACGCTTGCCGCTTTAGCCTTGGCGGCCACCAGCGTCGCTGAATGCCAGCCAGCGCCTCTTGGATCTGGAGAATCACCCGCGAGCTACACGGTACAGGCTTCAGAAGTTTACAATAAAAAAGATGGCGTCCAAAAAAGACATGCGAAGGTTCGATCTTGGTATGTCATCCCCCTAACCCTTTGAATTGCCTCGTTCTCTTGCGAAATTCCTGATTGCTGACTGGATCTTGAAATAGCGATTCCCTACGTCGAGCCGCCCAAAGACAAGAATGATGCGGATATGACCGGTACATACATCACATAGAGATGCTGGACTATAGCAACCTGGGCGACTGGAGCTGACTGACTGTCCTAGGCACCATGTCAAGCACAATGCCAATGGCAGCCGTGGGTTACTCGAAATCGGATTTACACTTAACGTAACTAACAGTCCTCACAGATGTTCACAAGAAACAAGTGAGCTTGTGGTTTCTTTCCCCTCGGGTTAATTGCTATTAGCGCGCGTTGGTTATCTGACAACTCCCTCTGTCTAGGATGATCGGATGGTGTGTATTGTCCCCAAAGTATTTCCAGGATAATGCTAATCAGCAATAGGGTCGCCTTTGTCTTCTCGCTCCAAACATGGCTCGGTGAAACTGCCGAGCAGAAGAAAAATGCTAGTACACCGGCATACTTGTCGGTTTTGATGTCTGGTACGTCGCGATATTGATACATGCCTCAAGGGTGATCATTGACTAACTTGTGACGTCTATAGTGTTGGCATTGGGTGTTGTATGTCACCGAACCCCTTTAATAATATGTCTTGAACGACGCAGCAACATCTAACATTTCTACTATAGACCTACCTTCCTATATTCCTCCCGCCCACACCTGCACCAGGTGGCACAGTCCCCGCGCCTCCACCCACACCCTCTCCGTGATATACCCTATTGGCCTTCATGTGTCGGGATAGGTTGAGATGGCGTCCATATTCTTGTATTTTAATATTTTCTTATGGAACCCTGCATCGTCGAAGCTGAAATAGGCGGGAAGCTGCTACAGCCAGCTTATCATACTGCAGACCGCTTTACTCAAAGCGCACAAATAGTTGGCCTGTAATATTAATTTAATACACTGATATCCCGTTGAATTGTTTTTCAAAATGGTATAGCAGAGTTTGTAAGACAATCGGTTATCTCAATCTCAATGACATACATTGTTGTCGAAGAGGTTTGCCACTGCTTTAGTGACTTGCCCACTACACTAGAATTGGCCATGCATACTGAACATTCTTTTCTCACACCGTGGTGGCAGTGTGTTCCAAGCCTCTGAACCTGATAGGCTCCTTTGTAGTACAAGGCTGGACAGACCTGCAGGCTCGACAGAGTGAACAAAGACGACCGGTGCGCGAGGTGGCCATTGCTGAGTCACGGGCACACCGCCTTCCCCCACAGGGCCGCTTAGTATCAGCAGCGCCCCTCAAAAGGATCTTTCCTCCTCTCTCACGAACTCTTCATCCCCATCCAGACCCCAACACTTCGTCCTACGAAACCACTCGACTCGCGATCGCTATTATAGAGATTTTATTCTCCCCCTCCACTTTATTTACAAGAAACCGCTTTTAAGGGCCGTTTACGACGAAAGGCCGAGTTTATGTCCATCGAAAACCTTAAGACCTTCGGTAAGGCCTTGCCACTCCCCTTCTTCAGCGCCCCGTTCCTAGCAGTTTAGCAATACGCCCGCTCCTAAGATAAACTATTTGCACTCAAGGATGCCTTATCATCCAAGCTATTGAGTGTGGGTAGTTATCTTGTGGCAGTCACTTGCTGCTTACACTCCGTTCTTGCGATCTACGTGGGCCCTTTTGGCGGGGTAATTCTGGTTGTGATCCCAGGCTGACACGTGCTCCTACAGACCCCTTCGCCGAAGCTGACGAAGACACCGGCGAGACTAAGCAGTCTCAAAACTATATCCATATACGGATTCAACGTAGGTTTTATACCGAGACCTCATTACCATCGCCACATATTTCGCATGTCGTCTCTCACCGCCTCGGGTTCGTACTAACGGTGGCTTCCAGAGCGCAATGGTCGTAAGACCTTGACTACCGTTCAGGGTCTCCCTAAGAAGTTTGATCAGAAGAAGATCTTGAAGGTGATAAAGAAGAAGTTCGGTATGTTTTTTTTTTAACTCGCCGGCATATCTTGGTATCTTGGCTAACACCGGTTCCAGCTTGCAATGGCACCATCGTCAATGACACTGAGATGGGAGAGGTGATCCAGCTCCAAGGAGATCAGCGTAAGGATGTTCAGGAGTTCTTGACCGACAAGAAGGAGGGCCTTGAGCTTGATGCCAAGACCATCAAGGTCCACGGTTTCTAAGTCAGAAGCCACTCCCCGTTCCGGTCCCTTCTTCCCAGTCCACTTTACACCCGGGATTGCGACTGCGGCAGGTCGCCTATTCTTTCCCGCCTATTCATTGCATTAGTCTCGACTGCGAAGATTATGGTTGGTTAGATTATTTCCATACCCGGTGTGCTGGACTTGGGCCACTTGTCGAACCGATGCACTAGCCAACTTGTCCCTGAGAATCGTGAACGGGCGATTTGGGAGGAGTTACCAGTATCGAAGTACCTACCAATATAGAAGGGTTCTTGAGGGGGATTTCGTGTCTTCATTATTATACTTAGTATTCTACCAGGTAGCTAGTCCAAGCAAGTCCTGTCTTCATTTCATGGAGAGTTAGCCGTTATCAATTTCCTGGTAGATGCCGTGGTGTTCTTGAAGGAACGTCTTATGAGTACGAATCAAGCAAACCTAGGTCGCTCTTTACTCCTTGCGCCTTTTCTCTATACTGTCTCCTTATAAATATCACGTTTATCAATGCCAATGCCTACACCAAAGTACTAACTCCCCATTGTATTTATCGATTTGCCATTTACAACGACGGTGATATTGTGTCCGGGCAATGGCTAATAAAATAAACCGACGTAGACGGTTATATATATGCAATGTTATTGTATGGCATGTTACGTCTTCATACTGCGTTAGCCCGAAGGAAAGAGATGCAATATACCAGAGGCCCTCTCTTGCATTTAGTCAAAAGGAGGGAAATAAACATGAAACGCAAAACATCAGGATCATGACACCAAATAAAGTGGACAGGAGGTACTTAAAAGATCATCAAAATCGGGGGATGGGGATGGGCATCCCCAGCAGCCGAAACGCCGGATTAGTTGTTTATATTATTAATCGAGAGCATAGAAATGAGATATAGAGTTTATGGGGCATTTGCGCCTCACAGAATCGTACACTTCTTGTTCCTTTGTTTCGCTGCAGGCCGCGGGTTGAGGACAGCACTAGGAAAATCGTTGTCAGCTTCAACACAACAAACTGAGGTAGAAACTATGGCGAAAAATACCGAATTGCCTCATCGAATACGCTCTTAAGATTGCGCTGTGTTAGCGCAGAGCACTCCAAGTACTTATGAGCTCGGATTTCTTTCGCGACGGCCAGAGCCTGCTCATAAGTGACCGGCTCCTGCTTCCTGATGCGGAGGCCTTCGAGCTGGGCGGGGTCGTCCCGCAAATCGAGCTTGGTACCGACCAAGATGATAGGGACGTTGGGGGCATGGTGTTCGATTTCCGGAAACCACTATATGAAAGTTAGAAATATGAACCTTGTAATCTGGCGGGCGTTCTGCTGTCTAAACACGTATTCCACAGCTGGGTAAATAAGTACCTTTGACTTAACGTTGTCGAAAGACGGAGGGCTGACGACAGAGAAACAAATGAGGAATACATCGGTTTGTGGGTAGGACAATGGGCGAAGTCGGTCGTAATCTTCCTGTCCAGCAGTATCCCAGAGTCCTAAGCTAATCGGTCTGCCATCCACCATCACACTAGCCGTATAATTATCAAAACTGTGGTAATTGGTCAACAAGATATTCAGCACGCTAGAGGGAGGGTGAAAAGCGTGGTAACGGACACGGTGGGTATGTATTCGCCGGGGAAGGCATTGGTCGTATAAGAAATGAGGAGACATGTCTGACGAGATGGTTAATTATGGGGTCACTGGTGCCCCAAGATGCAGCAAGAAAAGCGATAAGGGCAAGAAAGACTAACCTTTCCTACAGCACCATCACCGGTCACGACACACTGTTGCGGGATTAGCCATTGGCTCTGGTTTGCCGGGGGAGAGGACTGGCGGAGAGCTCCTGACCTTGAGGGACTGAGTAGCAGGACCTGTCGCCATTGTCGCTTAAAAAATCCAAAGCTATATACACGATTCTGACGATAACCAAACGGGCTCAGGGTATCAATCGATCCAGCGACGCAAATGATATAAATACGAGGGATGTTGTGGGATGGATAGGCGGAGCGACAGATGAAACGGGGGTATCTGCACGGAGGGACAGCGCCGATCGATCAGTCACGAAAGGTTGAACTGCGAAGCCGGGGGCGGACGAGATCAAAGGGGGCGAATGCAGAGGAAGAAATGAAGAAAATTGCAAAGAAACAAGAACACAAAAAGGATGGAGAAAACGGCACGGCGGCTGCTGGAGGAAGAAGCAGAGGGGAGAGAAAGAAGGAAGAGGAGAGGATGGAGTTAGGCGGAGGTGCTGGTGTCTAGTGGATTGCAAGTGGAAAGGGAGAGGGAGTAGTGAGTGAACTAACAGACAGCCAGACACTCGGGAGCTCGCTCTCTAGTGCCCGCCGACAGCTTTGAATGGCAGTCTCAATCTGATCAGTAGATTTAGCTTGACCTCAGAGGACCAACCAAGCCGTCTTTTTCGCTTCTTGCAAGCACTCGGCGCCTGGACAGCGACCAGGGCAGATCCGGCACCAATAACAATTAGTTCCCGGGGATAGCATGGAAGATAATCCAAACATTGTTGTAGCCAGTCTACGCGAGGCTGTTGTCTCTCCTGAACCACACATGGGCGCTGTCTGGAACCGCGGTTCACCAGCCCTGGTACTTGGTAGGCGGGCGTCCTACGAGCAACATCGTCGCTATCCAATGCCCATCGTCAGAATCCAACCCAATTATCGCGGACCATTCCTTCGCGTCTGCGACTACAATGGTCAGACAGCCACACGACCCGTCGAGAGGGCTGAGAACTGGCGGAGTTTCGATGCACGAATCAGTCCCGCAGCTCCATCTCTTATTGTTGGTTGCCCTCGCCACTGCTACGCACAATCTGGCCACCACTCTGCATGTCAACACTGAACTCACGGCTACAATTGATCTGATCTGTCAGTGCTCAGTGTGTTGAAACATGCGGGGTTACTGATCCACCTGGCAAAGCTTTGATCATTTCAGTTTTTTGCGGTCAAGCTTCAACTGTTGATTTGACGGCAAGCTGCTCAAATGCCAAATGGTATCTCAACTAGAATAAATTATGTACAAAACAACGGCCTGTCCACTCACTCTGCAAACCCGTGTGCGTATAAAACAAACTTTTATATAAACATGCCGAACTTAGATAGCCGGTGGGGCTGGAAAACCATCCGGGAACCCGTCGAAGACCCAGTTGAGGGAGTCAAATACTTCTGAAAACCCTGCCTCATTGAAGAACGCTCCTTCTTGGTCGAAGTTTGGCGGATACATCAGCCCTGGGTCTTCCAGGGACCCGTCCGATTGCCGAGGAACTGCGGCTGTTGCGACGCTTGGATTGGCCGTCATGGCTTGTGTATCTTCCGCGTTCTTCAATGGCCGGAAGCGATGTCGCCAACGCCAAACCGTGTCATAAACATGGCTCATGCTCATGCGACATCTGACCTTTATGAGTAAAGTATCATCCCCCGAATCCTCGGGGGCCCCAGCATTCCACATCTGCGCCAGAATATCGGCTAGTCGAACAGGCCTATCATGGTCCATCACACTGATCCTCCTCAAAGCTGAAATTGCCCCGTTAAATAATAACTTCCCGTGCTCGAAGTCGATGTGTCGTCGAAAATCGCTTTTCAGTAGCTTCATTAGGGCAAACGCCGCCGATATGATCATCTGGAGGATATAGTTCGTTGCATGGCCAATGAGTTCGCCCGGTGAAGTCTCGAGATCTAGTACTCTTCCTAGAAATGACGTCGTGGCGATAAAAAGCTTAGTTAAGTCGTCGCTCCGTGCGTTCGAGCCTAAGAACACAAAATACCGCAAATGTAGTTCTGCTGCTCGTAAATGAATCATGTTGATCGCTGCCAGAAAAATCAAATTAGCTATAACCCAACGTAACAAACTAGATGATGCTGTACCGGAGATATTTCGGCCGTATTCAAGTTCCATTTCCCGGAGCTCATTTTCCAGAAGTTGTGAAATTAGAAGCTTTTCGGAGCTGATGAACTCTGCAGGGTCAGGCCTGCTGCTGTATAGAGATTTTGTTACCCGATCGCAGAATTTTTCGATGCGTAGGCGTGTTTTCAAGTCTTCTGGGGGGTGATAGTCGGCATCTCGAAGTGACGCTGGCTCAAGTGCCCAATCGTAGATTGTACTTGGAGGCTGGCCATACCCAGTAGCAACACTATTAGGGAAATGATAAGTTTTGCAATACGCCATATATTCTAGAGAGTCACTCACTTTTGGGCAACGATATTACATATTACCCATGTTTGTAGCCGATCCTTTACAGCTTCACCTTGACCTTCCATCCGAAAAGTCGTAAACTCTTCAGCCTGCACAGGGCGGTGTAACCCCAGCTGCATGGAAATTTGCATCATCAATCCGCATAGCATGAAAGTTGCATCCGTCCTCTGGCTCGTGGTCGGAAGTGGCCAAGTGCAGAGAAGACATAGGCCTTTGACAACACGATAATCCTGCGGAACGCTCGTTATTGTCGACCACAACAATCTGCTGAATGGCCCCGAAAGTGCACTGAGTAGGCCCGGCTCTGACGGAGCTCGCCGGCTAGCGACACAAATAATTGACCACGCTTGGAACGGACAACGACGGAGATACTCTTCAGGTTGCTTTTGGGGGTTCAGAAGTGGAAGAAAAGGGTGGTAGTACTTGAAGAACCTGGGGGGTATCAGAATCTTGGGTACTTGTATGGGGAATACTAGACCGCGTGACCTACTGATCAAATAGCCTTGCTACCCTTTGTCGGGATAGAGAAACATCCTCTAACCTCCAAATACTTTCGTCTTGAGATAAGATGGACCCATCGCTGTGCATAGTTAAGGGAGTGGCTAAAGTCTGCGGTTCTAGTTTCGCAGACATAGTCCGCCCCCGACTTATGTTTGCGGGATCGGGTCCATAATACATGTCCTCAGAGCACTGTGACACTTTGTCACTAGCTCGAGGCTCGACTGTATGAGCATGACTGCCATCGCTTGAGAGCCGTTGGCGGAGATCTGCAATCTCGCGCTCCATTTCAGCATTTCGCCTGATAACGTTAGTAAGGAGTAGCAAATATCGCGTATCGTATAACAAAATCTTACTTTCTTTTCGAGATGCGCCTGAAGGAAGGCTCCACCTTACATTCTATATGAAGCCGCCGACAACGGGAGCAGGCGTCCGCGGGTGTCTGAACGATATCACATCGTAGCTAATGTTGGTCAAATACGACAAAATTCAGCCAGACGTTGACAAGGCTAGGTAGGCTAAGGGAGTTGTGGGTAGTCCAAGGCGCATTGTTCCTTGTCCGTTGGACATGGGTCCCACGCACGCTGGATGGGTCTTTCTGGCATACCTTTTGTTGCTTGCACTCGTTACATGCTTTTCGACACCCACCCCGCCGCTTCCCCGTAATGGGCGGGGTCTTCTCCATGTCTCCGGGCTCCGAGGATCTGCTTGAGAACTCGAAGCCTGTCAGTGGGTGCGAAAGTCTCGGGTTGTTCCGAGGGTCGGGAGAGGTGCCCTGGGGAGATATCAAGTTTGCATGCGGAGGGAATCCATTCTGTGCCAAAATACCCCGGTACTCGAGGTCCATCGGTATAAATCAGAAGTCGATAAGCGCCGGAATGGGACCGCGGGGCGTATGAACACATGCAATATGGAGAATGCAACAACCAAAGGACATTGATGAAGGCGCCGGAAATCGGAAGAAAACGTTGGGGGTTCAGAATCGGCAGTTCCGCATCGCTGACTCATCCGCGCCAATCCCGCGTACATCGTGTAGATCAAAGCGCATGGGTCCCCTCGTCATTTCATTTAAGGTACGGCTACATATAGCTATATGTGGGTGCTTTTGTTATAACGAAGTGGTATTATAGCGATTGAAAACTTTGCCTTTTCATAAATGGAGAATAGAGAACTTCCCCGTCTGCGCATACAATATCCCCGTCGTAGCAGAATTGACGTTCCCAGCCAGGAACTTCTTCGAAGAGATGGTCGATGCACCGCAAATGAACGCCTCCAGGCTCCAGATGGCGTTTCCTATATGGAGACAGTGGCGACTGGCGACACTGATAGCATCACAATGGGAGTAGGGACAGTCTCACATGCAGTCACGTGATACGAACGGACCAAGCCGCACTTGAAGCCTAAAAACGCCTCCCGCCATTCCTGATGTGGTAAGCTGGTGACGCTGAGGTCCTGTGTTAGGCTTCCGTCATTGTTCAACCAGGTCTGTTTATAACCTTGTGCCCTCTTCGACACTGCTGCTCCTGAAAACCAGATACTTCTTTTGTTTATCACCTCCGTACGCCAATAATACACATGGCAGATGCTGCGCTCCAAGATGGCCCTGCGCCAAACACTCCATCGTCCGGGGATCCAGGAGTGCCACCTTTAAGCGCTGGATCTGCCGTCCCTTCCGCTCCAGGCCTGGAAGTCCGGATGGGCCCCCCAGTTGTTTCGGAGGAGTTGAAAGCTCGCTTGGACAAAGTGATCTATTCAGAGGTAAGGCGAGCCATGCGCACTGTGTGTGTGAGGGAAATCCGCTAACCTAGAGTTCCATAGATCGGCGTGACGACTCTCCTGACTCGATTGAAGCAAAGCGTTGCTTCTGCCAGAGTACGTTAATGACAATTAAGCGCTGCGGCTTTATATGAGTGGACATATACGCTAACGGATACTTGTTTTCACAAAGGACTTCGCCTCATTCCTTAAAAAAAGATCGATTTTGGAAGAAGAGCATGCTCAAGGCTTGAGAAAGGTGTCCCGTTCCTTATATGATGCCGCACATAAATCAGAGAACCGCCAGGGCACCTACAGTTATGGCTGCGTCGAGCTCAATAGCTTCCATGACCGCATGGCAGACCACGGGCTTCAGTTTGCAGCGTCTTTACACCAGATGTCTGACAATCTTACCGAACTTGCAGGGAACATCGAGCGAGGGCGCAAGCAATGGAAACATGAAGGGCTGAGTGCAGAAAAGAAAGTCATAGATGCGGAGACATTGGCGGAGAAGGCTAAGGCTAAATACGACACCCTGGCAGAGCAGTATGACCGGGTCAAGACCGGGGAGAAAGCAGGTGGAAAGTTTGGTTTTAAAGGTACCAAATCCGTTGCTCAACAGGAAGAAGACCTACTGCGCAAGGTCCAAGCCGCAGATTCAGATTACGCGGCCAAGATTCAAGCCGCCCAAGCAGCCCGAAAAGAGCTGATTTCGACCCAACGACCTCAGGCTGTACATAATATCCAGCAATTGATCTCAGAATGTGATTCGGGGCTTGCTCTGCAAATGCAAAAATTTGGTATGCATAGCATCGACACTACGAATACTTTCCCAAACTGACCATTCGCTTAGGGACTTTTAATGAGAAATTGCTTTTGGGACAAGGCTTATCCATAAGTCCATTGAAAGAAGGAGGGGATAGTGCTGGACCCAAGAGTCTCCGTGAAGTAATACAGCAAATCGACAACCAGAAAGACTACCATGACTACGTTCTAAGTCACGAATTCAACCCCGGTGCTGTGACCTCAGAGCAGGCTCAGTACCACCGTCACCCAGTGAGTCGCTTGAAGCTATCTCCAACCCTGCTCTTATCTAATTTTTTTCCAGACACTTGGAGGATCGACTGCGCCCCCGCAGTCTACCTCCCAGTCTAATACACAAAACAAGCGGCAATCTATGGCGCTAGCATTGCCTGCATCTCAACCCGCTGCGTCTACAGAGCCACCTCAAATACCAGTCCAGATACCATCGTCAGGCCCTTTAGAGAGCAATCAATCCCCGCAATATCCTCAAAACCCAGATGCATTCTCGGCTCCTCCGTTCCAGCCTCCGTACCCAACCTCGTCAGGGCCCCCTCCTGAGCAGCAAGTCATAAACCAAGCGCCGGCGCTGGCTCAGAAAGGACCATATTCGTCTTCCGGCAACGGTTATTCCTCAAATGTGAACCTTCCTCCTCTGAAGCCAGTATTTGGAGTCTCATTGGATGAGCTATATGCTCGTGATGGAACCGCGGTTCCCATGATCGTGTATCAATGTTTCCAAGCGATAGAGTTGTTTGGACTTGATGTAGAGGGGATCTACCGACTCTCAGGCAGTGCGAATCAAATTAGTCAGATGAAAGCCCTTTTTGATAACGGTAAGTGCCCCGTGAGTTTAGTCGGAATGCCTCTAATATCTAGATAACAGACTCGTCTCAAGTCGACTATACCAACCCCGAAAGCTTCCATCATGATGTGAACAGTGTCGCGGGCCTATTGAAACAATTTTTCAGAGATCTTCCAGACCCGCTCTTCACCTCAGCAGCGTACTCGAGCTTTATTGAAGCGGCCCGTAAGCTCCCTCGGGTCTTGCGTTCGAATCTATACCTTATACTAACTCCGATCTAGGCGTTGACGATGATATTCAACGGAGGGATTCACTCCACGCAATAATTAACGGCCTTCCAGATGCACATTACGCTACTTTAAGAGCTCTGATTCTGGTAAGATTCCAATTCAGTCTCCCTTGCATAATGATTACCCTTGCTAAAACAGTTCAGCACCTGAACAAAATCCAAGAACACTACACTCAAAACCGCATGAATGCAGGCAACATTGCCATTTGCTTTGGGTATGTCCCAGATCCAAGTTTCTAAGCTCGCCTTTCTGGTGCACCACTAACAAACTGCCTAGACCAACTCTGATGGGCGCCAGTTCAGGCGGCAACATTGCAGATGCCGGCTGGCAGGTACGCGTGATCGAAACTATCCTCATGAACACCTTCCAGATATTCGACGACGATTAGAGGCCAATTACTTACAAGGTCAATCCAAAAGAATACCATAATGTATTCTTGCCCGGACTCATCTTGTTCTTGTTCATACTTCGTGATTGGCACCATCCCTTTAGTACGCCCTTTTTTGATATATTTTGATGTATTTGACTTATGCTTTACGTCTGCACTGTATATAATACTGCTTTCGAGGGCAGATATCTTTCGATACATTATTACCCAATGTTAATATGACCCCTGGGGTCATTCGTCGTTTTATATTTTACACCATTTCCAATTCTATAAATGAAGCCCGAAGAGCATGGTAAATAAGTACAAGATTTGAAGGCAGTGGAGCAGGAGTATAGTACAAATAGGAAGCGCCATGGCCAAGACGCTCGTAATTACTATCAGAGTAAATCAGCCAGAAAGGTCAGCGTTGGCGCAATTGTATATAAAAGTTTTACACGACAATAGCAGACCGGGAACATATCCCACAGTCCGTGATATTGTCCGACATGCCTTCTCCGCAGGGACTACCTGGCGCCAGAAGGTGGAAGCCGTGGTATTGATGGGTCGATGAGTGGAGGGGAGAGAAAAGTTGCCTCATTATATGGCAAAATTATTTCTTCGTTCCCATCGTTGCCCTCATCGCGTCGAGACGTTCTGCAAACGTGAGCCCTTGAGCAAAGAACGGACTGCTTAGGTCGTCGATTGTTGTGGGTGTGGCGTGACCCCAGACACGCCAGCTTTCCTCCTCACCAATCCACCGGAGTTTCTGGAGAACAATGTATTCGGTGCAGTCCTGCTGCTTAACATTTGCAGGATCATAATCTCCTGATGGCTGTCGCTGCGCCTTGCCTGTTGACTGACGACTTGTGATACGGAGGACCACTTGGCGTACGCCAGAGTCGGCCAATTCGGGAATTTGAGTAGCACGGTCTGATACGACACGGATTCCGGTGAAGAAGGTGGATGGGGACCGAATGTATTTGTCCAGGGTCCAAGTCACTATCTCGCCCTTGGGGCGGGCTGCGATACGGCCGATAAGGTTGTTTGCAAGACCAGTGCAACAGATCTTGCGTAGTGTCGTAGCATCTCCACTATAAACCAAGAAGAACAAATGTTAGAAAACGGTACAGCGATACTGCACGTACGAAGCTAGCTTACTCGGCAAATGCGGAGTACATCCGTTGGTGAAAATCACGAGCTATTTGTCGCCGTTCTTTCAACCGTAGAGGGAGTCCTTTGCCATCCGTTTTACTATATACGAAGAGCCTACAACCAGTTAGCTTACCATTTGCATACAATATCGATGCGGAAGGATGTGCAGCACTCACCCCAAGAAATTCTGGAACCATGATTTCACCCACAGCCATTCAAAGTGTAGTCGTTCCCTTGGTTGTTGAAAGATGGACGGCATATCCCTCCACAATGGCCGAATATAGGTCCCCGGTAACAGTCCAATGTCTTGTGGCAGCTCTGATCGCGACATATTTTGGCCCCTAGACTTCATACTGGGCTGCGAGGGCTGCCTTACTGATAGCGTCTGTGGCATCCCTTTCTGCAGAGCACTGTATTGGGCGGAGGGCGAGAATTGTCGACATTGTGATAAAGCGATTGTCGAGGACTGTGAAATAACAGCTGTGCGTGCTCGAGCAGCTGAAAAAAGCGGTACACCCGCGATCGAGGTCGCCATTATGAAATTGGGTTGCGAGTCAAGCCGATTCCTCGAAGCGTTGAAATCCGGTGGTTTTTTTCGCCGATGAGAAACCCGCGGTATGTCACGTGATTCCCCAAATGAGGGACTTGCGATTTCAAACCGTCGCTTCATCTTGCATGTTCCCTTCAGGGCGTCGTCGATCTCTTTCGACCCCTTCAAAGCCGTATTCCCCGTGACTACACATTCTAGTCTCGGCTTTTTACTCCTCGACTGCCGCGGGATAATTGGTAATCGGCATCTCGGTCTTAAAGAACAGACAAACATCTCTACTCGTTAGGGAGGCGGAAGCGAACGAGTTTCTGTGGCATTGAACGCCATCCCACCACGTTTTTCTTATCGTCATTGATTTCAAATTGTTCTGCGACGGCTGCACATGCCGTATAATTAAGGCTGGCTCCTCCTCGCCGTGATGATGCTCCTCCACCCTTCTCTCCCCGCCGCCGATCGTCTCCTGAACCTGACTTGATACACTACCGTTCGGCCTCGAATCTGATCACACCTACGTCCTTCGGCGCTTCCCTGGCTATCCCATCGACAGTTTTCCGTGATAAAGCGGTGGCTTCTCCGGATACTTCGACTGCTGTGCCGCCCTCTCCAGCTTCTACGTCCCAGACATCTACCAGCAACGATGCCAGCCACACGATACCGTCAGCCCTGCATCCCCGGGTTGCGGTCATCTTAGGCGTTGATCGGAAGTGGTGGGTGCCTCTGCTTGTATCTCGTGCTCTGAGTACCGCGCCAGCGGCGTGGTGGGGGCTCCGATGTGCATTCACTTTCCTGGCCGAACTTCTCCATATTCGGCCTGGAATGGGACGTGAGGGGTGGGCGGCAGCGATCGTTGGAAGTGTAGGGCAAAATTGGGATGTTGAGAGGAGATTTCGGGTGACTGAGGTAGCATTGGCTATCATGTGGGTATGTAACGGCCGCTTGTACTGAGCTTCGCCTTGTCTTGGAATGATAGCAGGGGTCCGGATCTGTCCAAGTACAGTTGTGCTAACTAATGTTTACAGTGCTGTGCATCCGCATATCTTTCTTATTTTTTTGCTGATTGTATGATGTCTCGTTGGTATGCCGTTTACCATTTATACGCTGCTTCTTAACCAAAAACGCCGTTTCTCATACCTTATTTCCTTTCGCAGGCTTTTGAATTATACCCCCCCAGCTGTTGTTATTCGTCTTCTTACAACGAACGGATTGATTGCATATATCACTTCTTGGGTTCTTTATCTGTCTGGTGCATCTTCAGACCCTCGTCTTTTGTTACCAGCATGGATCTCGATCACAACCGTGAGCTTCCCCAATCATACATCATCCGAGTGCCAATTCGCTGACCGCCTTATTTTGGTAGACTTTGACTTTCTTATACCATGCTACTCAGAACCATGCTACGATCAAACGTGAAACTGCAGCCTCTCTTCTTGTCGTGTCGGTAGCAAGCTTCGTTAGCATGTCTTCACTCCTTCTGCAGTTACACTTGACACGCGAGAACGAACCGGAGGTACCACTCTTCGTCCTCACGCGAAAGATATGGGACTTCGCTGTCGATGTGGTTCAACGGATGCGGGTTGCGAATGATCACATTGGAGAGCTGTAATGAAACTACCTCACTCAGCAGTCTAATTAGGCCTCTTTTGGTGCAGAGATCAATATGAATCAACATTACTCCACTGCAACTGTATCAAGGTGACACTGCTGGCATATAATTTTTTAAAATTAGTTTACAGATTGCGAGTGAAGTAATTTTCCAACAACTCCAAACTATTATATCCCAGACAGATTTAGGGTATCTGTTCAAACTTGCTGAAAATGGCGAGAAAACAAGAACCTTACATCCGAAGGTGCTTTTATAAGAGTGACCGATTACCTCCCCCCAAAAAGGGCTCATAATTAAGCCATGCGGCCTCTTCTGCTGGGATGCACATCTGCATAGTCGTCTGCTCCAGTTTCCTCCGTCTTGGTCTTCCTCACCTTCTCCGTCTGAATCTCCTTGCCCTGGCGCTTTCTCTCCTCCGTGAGCTTCTGGTTTTTATAGTCAATCTTGGCTTTTCGGTGTTCCGATTTTCCACCACCGCCGGCACTAGTAGCGTTGCTTGTCAATTGATAGGTCTAGATAGGAGAAGAAGAAGAAGAAGAAGAAGAAGGGAAATGGTGACTCACGTCAATTCAACATTAATCCGACGAGGGGGGTATTTGCCATCATCGAACGACGAGTGATGATAGAGCTTCAGACAGGTCTTCATACGGTCGTAGTTGTCGAACTCGACGAACCCGAAGCCGCGAGATTTCGTGGGCTTGTCTGGTTGCGTAGCCACCCGCACGGATATCGGTTGTATCTTCTCGAAGTGTGCTTTTAGGGATTCGGTGTTGGCAGAGTAGGGTAGGTTTCCTATAGAAGCCGCGAGTTAGTTATCTGGGTATTGATGTGCGGATTGTTCCTCTCACCAACGAAGACGATGAATCTGGCTGCCTTCTTGTTTGGGGCGGCAGATTCTTGCGCCTCTTGTTCTTGGCTCTGTTCTGGTTCCTGCTTTCCTCCCTCCATTTGCTTCTTTGCCTTCTTTGCCTTCTTCTTCTCCTTCTTCTTCTCCTTTTCCGACTTCTCTTTGATCTCCGTATCACCGTCAACGTCCATCGCGTCTGCTGGTTGCTCGCTAACTTCGGGCTCTGGCTCAGTGGCATTTGTCTCTTCAGCCGGCTCCTCCTCACTCGTTACGTCTTTCGATTTCTTCTCCTTCTTCTCCTTCCTCTCTTTCTTTTCCTTCTTGTCCTTCTTATCTTTCTTTTCTTCTTTGTCCTTCTTCTCTCTCTTATCCTTCTTCTCGTTCACCTGCGTCCCCTCAGCGCCATTCTCGATGTCAACAGCATCCTTCTGCTTGCTCTTCTTGTCTTTCTTTTCCTTTTTTGCGTCCCGATTTGAATCGCGCTTAGCCTTCTTGCCTTCGGGTTCAGTGGCCGCGACATCCTCCGCGGGGGTTTCGAGCTTGCGCTTCTTCTCGGCCATTGTTGCTTCTTCGCGGTGACGGATTATTCAAGATTTCAAAATGACCCAATTCTTTAAAAGGCGTAATACGATGTGAGCCGGAGATATAATCCTCCCAAAAAAAAAGATATTGCGAGCTCAAGGCGTGTGACAACGAAGAAAACTAACAATAATAACAAAAAACGATAAGATACAAGCCAAAAAAAAAAAAAAAAATCACTTTTCCGCTTTTTTCTGCCGCGTGGAGCGGACGGGCGGTGGGAAGGTCTCCACCCTATCCACTTACCGTATTGGTGGCACGTATTTAAAGTGTCAAGTTAGGGCTTTTATGGTTTCCGGTTCAATCTATATAGGGTGTTCTATTCAATATGCTTGCGATATTTTCACAACTAAGAACAAATAGAATTAAAAATGTATCAAGTAAGGAAAATACAAAATGAGTGTATATAGGTTGGACCGAAAACGAAAAATAATCAGTGATAAAACGAAAATAGCAGGAGGAAGTTGATCTGTATAGGCGCGAATCGAGTGAGAAAACTTGAACGAAACCATAGCTGAAAATGGCATCGTATAGTGTGCAGAGTTAAAGTGAACGGATTATGCCTGTCCAGTTATTTTCTTGCCCTTTGGTACACGGGCCAGCCAGTAGATGAACACTGCTCCAACAATATTGAAGAAGATGTAAACCCACATCAAGCCAAAATTTCTCCAGGCATCATCGAAATTGCTGCCAACTTGCATGAGAAAATTATCCGTCTTGTCCATGGTGCAAAATGCGCATTGAGAAGTGGCATCCGGGTCTTGGAGATAGCCACTTTGCATCATGTCAATATAGTCTTGCATGTAGCTTCCACAAGTGCGATTGTCCGGTGGGTTAAATTGGAGATATTCCACGGCCTCACACTCAACATCCGTCCCAGACAGACCCGTCGAAAGCATCGCCGAAACCAGGTAAGTAAAGGGTGACACTCGATACATGAAGATCCAGAAACCAGGCATGGCGTCGGGAGTCGAGAGAACGCCGCAAAAAATCAGACAGAGGGAAAATAACATTGTCGCAATATTGCCTCCAGTCTCAGCCAGTTCAATGCCGGCAATAATCATATGTGCAAATGTGGAAGTAAAAAGCAAGAATGTCCAAATTAGCAAGAACATTAGGCCACCGCGCTCTGTAACCGCATCCGTTGGCTTCGCATTGTCGTACAAGCCAATGGGGTAGTACCAACAGAAAAATACAAATGCTGCCATGAGTGTATTCCAGGGAAGTTCAACTATAATATTAGCTGTCATGAATGCCTGCCATGAATATGTTTTGGATGGGCGCTCCCGTGCTTCGTACAGAGAGCGTTGGGTGACAAAATTAGGCATAATTTGCTGTACTAGGTTGCCGAATATTGTCATCAACATGAAAACACTGAACATTTGGTTCTGTAGGCCTTGCATGGACGTGGGAGCTTTGAAGAATGAGAATCCAATATATAGGGATGTGAGAACACAAAGGGCGGCTTTGGACCAGATATAAGTTGGCGTGCGGTAGTATTGAGCAAACACCCGAGTAAGGCACTCCCACAGCTGGACATGGAATGGAGCGGCGAACTCGCTCAAAGCGCCCGGATCCGACGAATCAATTGGCTTTTCCGACAACGTGGATTTCAACTCGGCGAGATGTTCCTTGACCTTGGCATATTCCGGACTTTCACGCCACATTTTTACCCAATCAATCTCGGTGTGGGATCCAGGGGCTGCTCCAATGACTTCCAGCATCCACTCAGCTGGATTATCCCCGGGAGGCAACGGCTGAGAGCCATTGCGTACGAAGTAGTTCGAAAGCGTTGAAGAGTTAGCTCCGATTTCTCCAAAGTAGATGGTCTTCCCTCCAGACGCTAATAGGAGAAGTCGGTCGAATCGCTGGAACAACATAGCCGAGGGTTGGTGGATGGTGCAAAGGATGGCTTGCCCATGTTGAGTCAGTGTATCAATTAGGTCTAGAATGGACCAAGAGGTCTGACTATCAAGGCCAGAAGTTGGCTCATCCAAAAACAATAGGAGCTGAGGCTTAGCGGCAAGCTCTACTCCAATTGTTAATCGTTTGCGTTGTTCAACATTTAACCCCTCTCCAGGAACGCCGACAATGGCGTCTGCGTAGGCCCCCATTCCCAGGAGCTTAATAACTTCTTCGACATAATCAAGCTTTTCCTGACGACTTAAGTGGGCGGGTTGTCGTAGTAATGCACTGAACCTGAGAGCTTCCCGTACAGTTGATGTAGCCAAGTGTAGATCTTGTTGCTGCACATATCCGGTTTTGCGCTGGAATGATTGGTCCCGCAAGCGCCCATCAACAAGCATTGAACCGGTAACAACACCCATGGTGACCCGTGTGGCCAAGACATCCAGTAATGTTGTCTTCCCTGCTCCAGATACACCCATCAGCGCGGTACAGGTGCCAGGTTTGACCCAGCCATCAACATGGTCAAGGATCGTTCTTGGCTGTCCTTTGATTTTTATATCGTAACAGACATCCTCCCAATGGAAAATTGCAGTTTGTCTCTGAATCTTAGCAGAATTCCGTGTTGCTGCTTCCTCAGTTTTTGGGGCACTAGCGGGCTGGCTAGGGTTCTCGGGGTCGGCCTCGCCTCTTGGAATGTTTGGTTGATGCCCGCGGCGGAACAGGAGAACCTCGCCTTTCGACTTTTGCTCCGAAATATATTCCGTGCCGACCAGGTAGGTGAACGCGAAGAAAACCATAAAACCAATCAAAATTCCCATGTTTCGCCATAGATGGCCTTTGGTATAGTTGTAGCTCAATTCGACAAACTTTCCCCCATCCACAATGGAAGATCCGGATTCTGCACCAACTGTTGAACAAATCCGGTACTGCATGGATATGCTGTCGTATTCCCCCTGAGATGGAATGATACCAGCACACTCGAACTGCCGACCATGGAATTCATTGACCATAAAACTCTCAAAAGAGTAAGCGATCGGATTGATATAGTTCATCCAACGGGACCAGCCAAGCATATTTCGAGTAGGGATAGTAAAGCCCGTGTAAATCACCATACCTAAGATCAATATAGCTGCGGGCACGAGAGCCTGGGAGAGTGAACGAGACGTCGCAGCAATGGTTCGAAAGATCATTGACATTGTAAATGTGGTGACAACCGAAAAGATCCAGAATGTGAAAAAGGCGTCAGCATCACGACGCAGGTTGGTCATCAAGTACAAGGGTACATTGAACGTAAAAGAGTTGATAAGCTTGTAGGGAGTATCGCACAGCATCGAAGCCACGGCCTCTGCAAAGGGATGGTAGAATGCATATCTTGATTGTTTTTCTACTATTGGTCGCTGCGCATAGAGCGTCAAGATCTCCAAGGCACTCGAGAATGCGTTTAGGAGGACTGCGAAGAAAAGGAGGGCCCCTCGGTAGTAAAAGCTGCTCGTGTCGTCGGTAAGGTCGAAGAATACGGATCCAATAATCAATGCCATAATGAAGTTTCCAATCAAGGCGGTTGTCGTGAGACTGAAGTCCCCGCGGAGACGCTGAAATCCGCGGCGAACACATAACGAGACCTGGTTCCATACTGAGATTGTATATGGAGATTTTACTCGCTGGCGCTTTGATTGCATGGCCTTCCGTGCCTCCACGAATGCATTATAAGAGGGTCCACCAATGGGGTATTGCCTTTCGAACTCCTCAATTTCCTGTATGAGTCTCGCACGGTCTTCACTTGCTTTCCATGCCGCCGCGAATTCGTCCGGCGTGCGAGGGACGCGATCTTCAAATCCAGGCCGTATCAAACGTTCTGAAGGGCTAGTGAGTGATGTTAGGAAATCTGCAGTTGTTTGTCGCTCAGGACACTCGAATCCCATGTCGACAAAGAACTTTTTTGCATCCGCTGCGCGACCAAAATAGATCTGCCTTCCTTCATAGAGAACAGTGACCTTATTGAAAACATCGTATGCGTTCTGAGATGCTTGGTAGATAGCCACGCAAGCAGTAGAGCCAGTATACTTGCTCATCAAAGCCAGATTCTTGCAAAACTCCAAAGCGTTGGCGCTATCGAGACCTCTCGTGCTATTATCCCAGCACTGCAGTGGAGCTTGGCTTAATGTTGCCTCTGCGATACTAACACGCTTTCTTTCACCACCACTAACACCACGAACAAAGTCATTACCCACACGGGTATTGATCGTATGCGAGAGGCCAAGCATAGCCATTACCACATCTCTCATATGCTCCGCATGCTGCTTCTGACTCACACCTTCGAGACGGTTACGCGGTGCTCTTGCTAGAGCGGCGAATGTTAGAGTGTCACCCACCGAGAGCTGAGGGAAATGAACATCATTTTCCGCTGTATAAATAGCCTCGCCTCGAAACGAATTTTGCATGCTTTTGGCAGAGATACCTGGTTTGAAATATCACACCGCGTTAGAACCAAATCCGTATGGCCATGGTTGAGTAGAGCCGATAGAGAAGCTCACCTTGATAATTCATCACCGCGTCTTCTGACGCCTGTATTCCATTCATCTCGCCTGCAATAGTTTTAAGAAAGGTGGAACATCCACTTCCAGGTCTTCCCAAGACGACAAGCATCTCGCCGCTCTTGACCAACCCTTCAAAATCCCTGAGAATCTGAATCTTTGGCATCCTTATCCCAACTAGCCTGCGAGCCATGGTTCCAACCTCGAGGAGCACATTCGAGACATCTTTCTGGTAATCGGTGGGCGACCCAAAGCCATGGACACTCAGACTCTTGAAAGCCACGCCGGCTGTGCGGTCAGGGTATCTCTCTGGATCACGAGACCGGATCTCTAATAGCATTTTCATCCAATCTCGGACCCGGAAGTTTGCACTCTGAGGGTTAAGAGCAGATTCGGAGTCATCGAGGAAGAATGGATTCTCGAGCGTGCTTTTTGCTGTTAATCTCGTGGACTGGCGAGTCAGACGTCTAGCCAGTGAAACCACGCGAGTTTCCACATCCGGCTCATCCCCGTGTAGTGTCTCTCCATCCTCACTTTTGTCTTTCTCAGAATGGCCCGTGTGAGCTCCCGTGGAGAGATTGTGACCAGCTTTGTCATCTTCACCGAGTTCCTGCAGTTGTTGGATGTTGTGACTGACTACCGACTGGGATCGTGGTACATTAGGAGTGATAGATCCGAGAAACGACATGATGACGAAGTATTGCGGGTGATAGTATGTATCAAGAACAAATTCCCGGACTGCTTTTCAGGTGTTTGCAGCCACACCATCTGCCGATATTGCGCGTCGAGCAACTGATGGGTAATATGATATCCAACTGCTTAACGAAAGAAGATGCTACTCATTGTGCGCAAAGGAAGCCAGGTATATGCGTAAAGACTGGAAGATCCCTAAAATGCCAGCAACAAATGACACTTCCCTGGCCTTTTATTGTTACTTCATGTGAAAAGAAAACGAGAGTTTAGGCAGTAAGCAGAACCACCGGCATCTGAAAGAAAGCTGTCGGGTCGGAAACACCATGCACAACTTGTGTTGGGAATCCCGGCTCCGATTGGGAAGAATTTGTGATTCTCAGCATGATTGTGCTCCCGGCAGTAATGTGACCCGACACGCAGCAAGGCATAGTCCGCAAAGAGCATCCGGGGACCCGGGATTATCTTGAGAATTGGAGATGCCATTCTCCCAAGACTTTCTGGACAATGAAAATGCTTCCGGCCACTGGGTCTCGCCGAACCATGGGGCATAGTATTGGCCGATCTATGTCTCTGAGAGTACGTGCCTCGACGATAGTTAGTAGGCAGCTTTTGATCCGGACTCCGAGTCGGATTTGGGAGAATCGACAAAATCGACCTCCACTACTATTTCAAGTGAGGTATGCATAAGTGTATTTGGATCCCTTATATATCCCACACCCGCCCATTGCCCCGAGTTTATTGTATTGAGCTTCGCTTGGATCATCAGGCACAACTGCGCTGCTCTCTCATCAGAACAATTTCACGCACATTGGAAAAGATCGAGCGCCAAGATTTAGCATAAAGGTCCAATTTCTTAGTGCACTTTAGATGGCTGAAGTGCCGGATAATCAAAATAGTGATCGTGACACACAGGTGTCAAAGTTGAGAGAGGAAGAAGGGATGGCGTTGACTGAGATACCGCTGTGATACCGCCGTGATACAAAAATTACACGACATCCGGCTTCCGTCTGAAGCCCGAAACCGCCATTCCGGGCGACTTATCAACCTATCAACCTCCCATGGCTGCGGCTTCAATACGGTTACCAATAAATTACCAAAAGGGTGCCCACTGCAGCCCTGCGCCAGAAACACTCTTGGCCGCCGTCTGGTCTCCCGGATAGCAACTGCTCCGAACGATGCACACACACCCCTCCAAGGCTCGGTTTCGCAGCGATCTTCCCTGCTTGGTCTTAGACCACGGATGATCCATTTCAAAAGTCCGGGGTGAAATGCCGCATTATTTGAGTGGGCTTGTCAGTACCCAATCATCTGAAGCAACGATTTGAGCTCGTCGAGCGTGACCGAGCAAGGACGGGAGTCTAGCTACCACTGGTAATTGTTAGGACACGAGCTTTGCGTGAGGGGTGGAGGTGGGAAGTTGTTGTTACTTGAGCATTATCATGCCAACTCTTTCCAACTACTGGCCTTCCTTGGACCTCAGCTTGCTGCTCGTATACAACCCTTGACATGAAATTGAGCTTAATCCAGAATTCGCCTGCCTTTCCAAACCGCAAGCACCTACGACAATGAAGACGGCCACCAGTGGGGCCAACAACGTTGGCTCCCGCTGCCAACCAGCGCAGCGACCAGTATTCGATGCACAGGGCGCCGCTAATCGTCGGGCAGCGGACAAAGGATGTGCAAGAAGCCAACGAAGAAAGCAAGTGGGTGACGGATATCAAACTCCAATAGCCAATGCTGATCGTCTATTCGTGTAGCGGAGCAGCAGACCTCGAACTCAGGAGCCACAATATGAGAGCAATCAGGAGCCGGAGCAGCCAAACAAGAAGCTCAAGACGAAAAATGATCAGAACGGGACTAGACGTCAAAGAAACCTGAAAAAGTACCCGTGCCACTTGTGTTGAATATATAATATAACATGCGCGATAACTGACTAACAGCTGTCTGGATCTAGCCTTATGATGATCAATCGATTAGAGACCAATATAGGGCGAATGGAGGCTCGTTTACAGGGTTTGGGGTTTGACCTATGCAATAATAAAGAAACACAACAAGTCCCGCCACATCAATTGGTGTCCAACAGCCCATATTCAACCCCATCACCATGCACCTCCGGCCCCGAGAACTCACTGGACGAGGCATCCTTCAGGGATGAATCACATCACCAAGACATCTGCGGAGACTTGGAAGAACCACGCACCACCGCAATTCCAGAGGTAGCACAGGAACGCGATGCGTTAGATACTCAAGAAGTCAAGGAAGACCCATTTCCTGATTTTGGGTATCTCGTACTTCCGAGATGTATACTCGACACGCCAGCTAGAAGTAAGTTGATTGATACTTAAATTATTTGCTGTGTCGATTGACCTAAGCCTTCAGGCCTCCCTGCTTTATCACACGAAGGTCTGGAGTGGGTGAGCCAACAATCTGGCGTATCTCCCGGATTATTGCCCGGCGGGTATTTCAATACTACGCCATTCGGCCCGCGAGGGCCATTGGGGTCATTATGTGACGACTTCCCAAGGAAAACCTTTTATCCACTGCCGTCCAAAGAAGAAACTTCGGCGTTGCTGCATGATTATCTACAGAATTTCAACACCCTGTGCCCTCTATTCGAGCAGGCCAAGCTTGTCTCTCTCTTCAACCAAGACAATTTAGATGTTGCTCTTCGAAGTCCTGCGTTGTGGGCTAGTGCCAATGTGGTGTTTGCCCTAGGAATCGCATTTCGCATCAATGATGGAGCTGTTGTGCAATCAGAGTATCAAAAAAGCTGGCTCTTCATGAAAAATGCCTTCGGTACCTTTCATGATCTTTGTCTAGGTGAGCCAGATATGTGGTCCATCCAGGCACTCTTAGGAATGGTATTTTCTAATATCCAGGCTCAATATCAGATCCAAAACTAATGGTCTATCTAGTCGATTTTCTTTTTAGGAACAATGTCTGCCGAACCTTGCTGTTTTCTCGTCACCGCCGCCATACGCATGATTCATCAAATTGGGTTGGGAAAGGGAGAGGAAAGCGTTACGCTCGACTCGGAATATAAAGAACACCGAAGAATTATATTTTGGGTCGCATACTGTCTTGATAGAGAGTATGCATACTCACGATCCTATCGATGCCTACCGCTAATCATAATCAGGGTCTCACTCCGCTTCGGGAGACCTCCCACGCAAAGCGATGATGATATGAGCATTGGCCTACCTACCGATTCACCAATACGCGACGCTAGTATAATACCGTCAATGTATCAGAATGTCGAATTTGATGCCTTCAGAGCACATTGTCAACTTGCAACCATCAAAGGCCAAGTCTACAAAGATCTATATTCGGCGGCAGCAAAGGATAGATCGCTCTCCGAGTTATTGACTTCTGTCGGCGCGTTGGACCAAATGCTCGAGAACTGGAAGGAGGAACTACCATCGAAATACCAGCCAGAATTACAACGATTGCAGTCCATGTCGATGACCCTTCTCTACCTCCATTGCTCCTATTTTAATTGCATTATCGCAATGCACAGATTAATTGCAAGTCGAGGAATCCGTACAGGTGATGATCTGGTCAGAAAATACGAAGATTTTGGTTATTCGGCTGCTCTTCCCGGCTCTCCAAGAGTATTTGCGTCCGAATCTCTGTGCACCAATGCCGCACGAGCCTCTATCAGGCTGATGAAGTATATACCGGAGGGACATATATCCGCTGTTGGGTACGTATCAATTCAAATTCTATGAGTATTGTTATCGGTCATCATACTAAACGTCCGGCTGCTAGAATCCTCATCCATTATCCTATTGTTGCTTTGTCAACTCTTTCTTCCAGCATTATCCGGAATCCATTTGATACCTCACGATTATCTGACATGAGGCTCATCGATCAGGTAGAGACGCTCTTGTCTTCGTTTATTGCAAGTATTCCAAATCAAGCCATCGCACAGCTGAAGACTTATTGTGCAAACTATCGCGCTGCTGCAAAGGCTGCGATCCAAAAGACCATGCAATTCTGTGCCAATAAAGATCCTTTAAATTAATATCCAATGGCAACACGAGGTATTATCGGAACCCAATGTTTCGTACCCTTCAAGTACATCGTGAACGTCTTGTGCTTCCGAGATATATATCATGCCGATATTCAACGGGTACGCGAAGCTGTGGAGAACAATGGCTAATACTTTAATGAGGTATGTATCGGGTGTGTTTGAATGAGTTAGCGAGGGCCACTATTACCTGTTTCTTGTATTATTCTTTCTAAGATTGAATGCCGGAGAAATATATAGCCTCAAATAACTTTTTGGTTCGCTATTATATACAAGTTTCAATCAGTTCGTTAAATTCCTGCACATGAAGGGTATGTTTCAACCCTGCTCAGTAAACGCCGACAATAGCCATTGCGTATCGCTTAAAACACAAGAATCTCAATCTTCTTTCCCTTGGCCCCATACCGCTCGCGGAGCTCGGGTCGAGTGAGCAGTTGAAGAAGCGGGAGATGAGTCTCTTTCATGTCGAAGATCCCTCTTTGCTTTTGGTCAACATGAGAACCGTCAATCACGACGCGCTTCAGTTCGTCCAGTTTCAGGGAGCCTGTGCTCGTCAGTATCAATAAATATCGGATCAGCTAACGAATACACCAAAAGAACATACCTGCTTCAATCAAGTCAGAGATGCGGGCCGGAGTACCCGCGCCAATTCCAACTCTGGGTCATGGTTTAGCAAAATCGGACTTATAACGTAAACCAGAGCACTTACCGCGCTCGTTCGAGGAATTGCTTAGCTTCTTCTAGCTTGATGTGTTTAGCGAATAATTTTCCAATAGGAGATTCCTTTGTTTGAAACATCCGAAGGGCCCTATTAAAGATAAGCATCCTATCTATTCTTTGTTTTGGAAAATAGTGTCACATACCTGACAACATCCGCAGCGCGGAGACCAGCAGGTGAAACGACAATAGTATGCGGGGTTCCTTTCTTCTCCGACGAGTCTGAAAGATTTAAATCTTTAGGACTGAATGATTTCAAGAATTCAGGAAGATTTTCCAGTGTTCTTGAAGAGGTAAATGACGATGTATCGAAGAATGCCGAGTCTGCGTCCTAACTTAGTGGCTGCGGCCGTATGTAAAGGATGAGATTCCACCATACCTGGAACACTAAGATCATTCAATTCAACCGCAGTCAGCTCCTTATTGTGCCGTTTGGCTTTCTGAATGAAGTGGTCGGCGAGCAACCGGCCGTCCATCTTCCCGATGGCCTCGTCAACAGTTCCCTTGCGCTCTTTTTGCAGAGGCTCCCCCTTAAGAGTCTTTGGTTTGTCTGTTTGATCCTCCTTGTCTTTCTTATCTTTCTTGTTCTTCCCACTTTTCCTTTTCTTGTTCTTGGGGCCATCAGGAGCGGCACCTTTAGATTTATTCGGAGCGTCGGACTTGCTCTGCTTGGAGGGCTCCTCGGCCTGTCGCTTGCGCTTTTTCTCCATCTTGGCGGCAAGGCCAGTTGAGGTGTTCGTTTCTCCAGACATATTTGTCTGTATACTCGGAAATGCTGAGAGGTTATTCCAGCTTATCCAAATCTTTATTTTCGAATGGCACGGTCATGTACTGGTTTGTCGCAATTCGCAAGTAGTTCTGGGAACTTTTTTGTGCTGAGTCATCAGACTTTTATCGATAAGCCGTCGGGGTCGAGAGTCTCGGCTGCATTGTTGTGAGACGCGCCCCAAAGTTCACGACCTCTCGTCACAACGCTCTCAACTTCGTCTATCAATTGGTATATTCTACGTCGGAGTATCAATTGCTGCTGAACCGTCTATTCCGATGCTTTAATGCTTGCTTTGTACTAGTTGCAATGTCGAATACTCCTAATCCGCGTGAACGCCGGCCCGCGCGAGATTCGGGAGTCTCTGAAGCGTCTACCCCAGCCGGTGATACTACACTTACTAGGGTATGTAAATATTCAACCAACACTACACCTTCTTGCTAACTCGCGTGTTACAGTTACAGCGCCTTCCTATTCATTCGCGCTATCCATCTACACCAAGGCGGCTTGCGGGATCTACAACCCCATCGGCGAACAGATCGGCTTCTCGATGGGGAACACCAGGGAACAGAGGGGGCGCCCCGTCGACTCCTTATGGGCTCCGTGCAATGCAACGGCGTGCAGCTAACACTCCCGGGCGGAATCGTCGAAAGAGCGGTGCAGCCCAACGCGAAACGGTTTTCGATGTTCTCCGAAACCTTAGCAAAGGTATGGAATTTTTGGATAGCTTACTGTGATCCCTAGTTATTAACCGTATGCCTGCAGCTCTCGCACCAGAATCACAACCTATAAGATCCTCACCACAGGTTCAACCGGAGCCGGAGCCGGAATCCGAGGTTGACGAATTTGACGAGCTTGATAATGAGCCTGCGCCTGAGAGACCACGGCTATCCTTGCCGTTAGAGGACGTTGGGGGCGAGGATGATGACACAAGTCCTGAGATACGCCCACCACGAATGTCGATGGCATTGGAGGACGATGATATGACACATACCTCTGTGGAATATCCTCGGAGAGCCACCTTTGACCGCGATAGAGGCCGCCTGTCTATGATGAGTCTAGGTGCCCCCCGGCTGAGTGAAAACTTTGCGGATACTACCGGGTTGGAAATCGGTTCAGATGCTGGTGACGATACTGGTGTAATACAGAACGATGATGAAGGGCAGGACGAAACTCTCATCAGTCAGGGTGCTTTTGACCGAGGGTGAGCCTAAAACATTTGAATTGGATATCGCATGTTGTCTAACACCCCTTTTTCAGTGGAGAAACGGATGATATCGGGCGTTTCAATCTTGATTTCAACTTTCCATCACCTGCTGCCCCAGTTGATTTAGACCAGGATGAGCCCATGAACGACGACGAAGGGTTTGAGCTACCTGTAGACGACTTTGAACAACCAGGACTTGACCCTGGGTCCGATGATAGTAATGTCGGTGATGCTACCGGAGGCTTGGGCCTAGAGCTATATCCTCCAGATAGAGTTTCCCTGAGTCAAAGTCCTGGGCTTGTTGGAGGAGGGTTACGCGAAGAAGACTCAGTTATACAGGGCAAGAAGCAGAAGAAGTTATCGCGGCATGGTATTCCAATTCCTAACATGCCTGCCGGCGTCGTCCGGAAATTGGCTACGCGGTTTGCACGAGCACGAGCCGGCCCGAAAGCAAAGATCAGCAAGACCACTCTAACAGCGATCGAGCAAGCATCTTCGTGGTACTTCGAACAAGCTAGCGAGGATCTAGCAGCCTATTCAAGGCATGCTGGACGCAAAACCATTGACGAGGCCGACGTCACCGCATTAATGAGGAGGTTAGTTCGTAATTCTCTTCCTATCTCGAATGTGGATTCTAATAGGCAGGCAACGCCATCTCAACAACACTACAACGGTGTTCTCTCTGGCTCAAAAGCATCTACCGAAGGAGCTCTTGCAGGACATGAGACTAGCGATACCTCCCAGATGAACAGTACAACTATATTACAGTGATATATCATATCCAACAATCCGAACGCCAGTACCCAATGCGCAGTCTCACAGGTAGTTTACCAACTTATATTCTGACGGACACGGCGGGTAGCCTCGTTGGGCCGCTTCCGAATAATCATCCATAGCATGATAGATGTCGCGAGAGATAATCCGTACCTATCTATATGAGCAACGAGTCTCGGCGTGAAGGCTGTGGGAAGCCTTGGAGGACATTAAAAGGGACTCACCATGTGAAGATGTACTGGCTGTGGTTGTTCCTTAGGTTCACTTCAGCAGCACGACCAATGGGAATGCCCTTTGCTTCCCGGTCCATTGCCGCTATCAGATCCTGGACTAAAAGACCGGTTAGCCGCGTCCGGAATCAAAATCATATACCTGCTCACCCATTGTTTGCTCTATCCATACCGGCTGACTGTCTGTCAGTTCAGCCATTTGTTCAACATCCGGAAAGTAGAATCTTCCTTCCTCCGGCTTGTTATCCGGTGTAAACATATTCTTCTTCCAAGGTTCCCGTATCAAGCCTTCAACGGTTACTTCGCCCTTTGGTAGCCCCTCCGGCCTGTCTTTCTGTTCCATCATATTCTTGGAGATCCATCCCCTGTTAACCAACACCGTACTTTCCCCTTCCCCTCTCTCCAGCGGGGTGATAACCATAAATCCGTCCTGACCTTCACGGATGCGCGGCCCAATCAACATCTCTTGGTCATGACGGAGCAGACCTGTAGCATAAACACGGCGATAATCAAATTCAGAAACGACACTTGGGTCGACACGTGGAGGTAACGGGAGAGGTTCTCTGACAAGGCGGTCTTCATATTTCGCAATCAACTTTGTTTTCCAGTCGAGACGTTGGATTTGCCATGTTCCGAGAGCGAAGGAAATGATAGGGATCAATGCTTAATTCACAGGCCAGTCAGTAATGTTTCCCGTACTCATACAGTAGTTGTCAAAGAAAAGAGCATACCCAAAATTATTAAACCTGGTCCATGTTTGCGGCCAGTTCGGACAATCTGCGCGGGGTGGTCCACGACTGATAACCAGCGCTGATCATCGCCCATCTGTTGACCGTTGAAGTAACGGACCTGGGTCTGTTGATGGCGGCATCTGGCACAAATTGAATCGAGCTTGAATGCTGTGCGCGGACTTCGAGCGGACGAGGTTATGGGATGTTGCCATGCCCGAGGAGCGGCCCGCTGGAGGGCCGAGAAAATAGGTCGCATGTCCAATTGAGAAGTGACTTTCTTTTTTATTCTAGCTGTGAATTTTCAAGTGACAATTGCACAACCTACTGACATGGAGGGTTTGAGTAAGAAGAAAAATAATGTCGAGTTGACGGAGGAGGGATTGGCGGCCGAGTCCATTACGGAACTTCAAGTGATCGGCGCCGGCTTATGCGCCGCCGACGATTCCACTGACCTTCATGTCCATGGCATCATTCTCAGTTTCCCACAAAACCATCCCGAAAGATAATGTTCTTCGCCGGTTCTTTACAGGATGGGATTGCCCTCGCCGTTCAGGAGTCCAAGGCTGTTATTTGCTTTGTGCCAGGTTCGTACTGCTGATACCCTGAGGTAACCGGTATTTCATAGTACCGCTGCTAACCAGTGCTCTCTTCAAAGATGACGGCGAGGCCAGCTCAACATGGCAAGACGAATACTTTATAGGTGACGAGGTACAATTTCTGATGGCTCTATTAAGCCCCTATCTGCACACTTTATTCTGAATCGTTCTTTAGCAGTTTACAGAGCTCCTCAAAGCACGATCTGTCCTATTGCGCATCGCCAAAGACAGCCCGGAAGCTGGGTTCCTAGCTTCTGTCTGTCCCGTCACACAATACCCGACAGTTGTCGTCATTAGGTATGAATGTCATTTTATTAAGATGATCAAGCGATGAGCGCACTGCTGACCGTCTTGTAGGAATGGAATGCTACGGGAATATATCATGCCGGATGTCTCGAAAGACGAGTTCCGCAACCGACTTACGGCCGCTATAGAGGATAGTGAAACTGAATCCCAGGCGCTTGCTCCTTCGGTAGCTCAACAACTGCCCCATCAGCCTCAGGAAATGAACCCCCCCGCACCAGCTCCGGAGCCTGCTGTGACACCCCCCACGCGAAGTGCGCCGACATCCGAGACGCCATCAATGCCGGAACAGGTCAGCCGGGATACACCCGAGAATAAATCCAGCGAGAAAGGAAAGAAGCCTGTATATGCTGCAGGCTCTCAAAGTCAGCCCCGAAACCAGGAAGGAAATAAGCACCGCCAATCCCCAATTGAATCCCGGGAAAAGAGCCAGGAGAAGGACACAAAAGGCAAAGCTTCAGTACGAGCCCCAAAGAAAGAGAAGCTGGCGGATGAACCACCAGTTCGTCGGCCCACACAACCAGCAGGGCCTCCAACACAATATCGTCTACAAGTACGATTATTCGATGGAAGTTCCGTGCGATCAACTTTTTCGCCCACGCAGACTATCCACAAAGATGTTCGCCCTTGGCTTGATAGTCAGCTAGAGGAAAAGAAGCCCTATAATCTCAAGCATATTCTCACTCCCTTACCGAACAAGACTCTTACAATCACTGAAGAGGATCAAACGCTTCGTGAGCTCATCACCGGCTCCACGGCAACCTTTGTCATGGTCCCTATCAAAACATATATAGAGGCATACTCGGAATCTGGGTCTTTACCTGTTCGTGCGTTGTCTTCAGCGTATGGGCTGGTTACATCCGTAATCAGCGAGACGGTAGGGTATGTCGGCTCCTTCGTTGGGTACGCCCAAAACACCGTTGCGCCATCACATCCAGAGCCGGCTCAGCCCAGCGAATCACAGCCATCTACAGACAGTACAAGGCGCCCTCGGCCGTGGGGACCCAACATTCGGACCCTTAGAGACCAGGGAAGTGAGCAGGATAGCCAATTCTATAATGGTAACCAGGTGGGCTGTTCAACCTTTATCCCCGAAACTTATAATCAGTATTGCTTGGCTAACTTTGTCATTTTCTGCCGATATAGTTGAATTTCGAACCCAGACAAAATGATGCGCGATGAAATTAGCATATCTTATTGGCGACTAGTACTCTTTCATCCTATACCATTGGTCATGGTCTATGGAAGCTCTGTACATAGTAGGTAGTAGACTGTGCGTTGCTGGTGGATGTGGTGGAACATCCTTGACGATCACTGTATTATCTTTGCACTAGAATAAGCAGGAACAGACCTACGCAGTGGCTTTGGGCCGTAACCCAGAGCGGGCTATATTTCGAGGAAGGAGCGGTGGCCCAACTCAGGAAAGAACAACCACCGGCCCGCCGGCGGTGGCCTCAGGTGCAGGTTTCCCTCGAGGTGACGCAGGTATATTTGATTTCCACTCTAGGAAGGCACGACTCCTGTCGGATATTACTTCGTAGGTATCTTGTCTCTAGACCAGTAAAGGCTTAACTAGGTAGTTGCAGAAAGTATCGTTCTTGAAGAGGAGATTATTCTTTTTATATCTGGGTATCTTTGTTTATCTTGGCCCAAGGTAGACTCTAGTAAATCTCTCGACAAAGATATGAATTCCTTGACGGAAACATGGTCAATAAAATAGTCATAATTACGCCGCTATGCAAACACTGTTCAGATTGACCTCCATGCGGAATTCAAGCTATGTATTTTATCAAACCACTTCGAAGCCCAAACGTAGTATACATAGTATAACCACGCCTAGTAAGGCTTAGCAGCAGCCTGGCAAGCTTTCTATAAAAAAGCAAGAATATCAGCACCATATTATCATGGGCGAGGAAGGAACATACCAGTTGGTCAAGGTACCATCCGCAAATGGACATGTTGCCCTGGTTGTCATCCATGCACTTGCGGAAGTTGCGGATGTCAGTTTCGCAGGCGGGGGTCTCCCAGGAGCTGTTCGTTGCGCTGCTTTGCCAGAGACCGTTGTCCATAGGCTGGGCTTCTGCAGGGGGCGCCTGCTGGGCCTCGGCAGGAGCGCTGGAGCCGCCGCCGGAGAAAAGACCACCGACAGCGTGGCCGATGGAGGAACCAACTGCTACACCACTGTAAGAAATTAATTAGTATCGGATATTTATATATATATATGAGAGGAAAGATCTGGTGTTGCTCCACGCGCAGCTCGTCACCAGGGAAAATAAGACAGGGAAAAAAAAAGTATCCAAGCTCGGGTACGGAATATGCGACTTACGCAGCGGTGGAAGCCATCTGGCCGAAAAGACCTGGACCAGCGCTCTGCTGTGCGGGAGCTGGGGCTGGAGGGGCTTGAGAAGCAGCAGGAGGGTGAGCAGCGGTCGAGTGAGGCTGCTGCTGCTGCTGGCCATAAGGTGCACGAGCCGGCTGAGCGGGTGCAGTCGGACGAGTAGGAGCGCTGCGCGCGGGAGTAGGAGCGGCACCACGGCGTTGGCGAGGCATGTTGACTGATGTATAAGGTTTGTTTAGGTCTAAGAGATAATAGTGGACGTGGGTGACGGGGTTTATATAGCTTTGTAGTAAAGAAGATGGTCGAATAGCCGGCGGAGAAGCAGGTCCACTGGAATTCGGGATGCTTCGAAATCTGCGGCAGTGTGATTGGTGGATAAGTTGTTTATGTCAGCTTTCCATAAGTAGTATAGCGTTATGATCCCGGGCCAAATTGAAGTATTACAGCTTCCGTGGATGGAACTCCAGGTACAAGTTGTTAGAGTTTCTCTAAGTGAAGAGCAATTATGACAGAATTAACTTCAAACTATCCAGTTCTATTGTATGTGAATATTCTAACTCGTTCGTTTGAATTGAATTGCAAACATAGATATACATTAAACCCGGTATCTCCGGCCCCGGATAGTGGCGAGTGTCGCTGACACTGTGAGTCACTTGCTCTGGATACTGAGCGTTGCGGTAAGCTGTGGATGTTTTTATGCTCGTATTATACGCGTAATTGCCACAGAACAATTATCGGTTGGGAATCGCGAGCACCGCAAGACCTTGTGGGCGCCTTACTGCAAGATCTCTCCTGTGAGCTTCCACCCGCTCATTCTCGAAGTCTTCTATGGTAAATTTGCGAACCATTGGACCGACCGAGGGTCGAAGACATCTATCGAAACCGAAGTGCATGGGCCGTCATATTGAGTGCCGATGGCAGACCTTTATGCGTGGATTGCATTGGACATGAACCATTCAGTTGAGTAGCAACTGCGATCATGTTTCCTTTCTTGCTTTCCTCGACTCATCTTTCTTTTTCCTTCTCTCATTGCGGCGCTCCCTGCGCTCTTCCTTACTGCGACCCTTTTTATGTTTGCCGTCTTTCGTATCGGATTTAGTTTTGCCATTCTTGTGTCTCCGGGTAGGGCCAGCATCGTTTTCGGGAGTTTTCATATTTTGTGAGGCTTTGGTCTCCTCGGCCCCGCTCGCAGGTCCGGTGTTGGCGTTGGAATGTTCCGAATCGCTTGAAGCAGCCTTGGAAGATGCCTCGGGCGTGGTGCTTGGTTTCTTAGCTAAGAGTGATGCTTTCAGTTGCGCGCGAGCCTTCTCCTTGGCCATTTGTTCCTCCCGTTGCAAATCATATTTGTCGTTTCCGGCCTATAAACGTAAGTGATGGCCCAAGTGGGGCAGGATTGGAGTTGCATACAAGCCCATGTTTAATAAAGCGCCCGGCAGCTTGTTTATCAAGCACCATGGTCCTCTGCTCTGGTTCTGTCTCCAGTGTCTTTATCTTGTCGAAGTATTGTCTCACTCTCGTTAGTTCTCTAAAAACCGGATGCTCTGTAGCTTTTACACCGCGTAAGCGCAAATACGCTGTGAAAAAAAAAGGTAAGTTAGTTCATGCTTTTTAGTGTATTAAGGGAGTTGTACAGAAGATCAGTGATTCCAAAGCATAAGTAATCAAGACATGAAATTTCGCTTTGTCTAGAACCGGCAGCTTCTTAGACGATTCTATGACGGTGCTCTCCAGGATCGGCACAAGTGCCTCTTCGAGGTCATCGACATTATCGTCCAGCTGTTCAATGAGCGGAATTAAGTCTGCAGACTCCATTTTGCCGGGGTATATTCACGGAGTAGGTAGGTTCAATGACCTTGAAGTTTGTCGGGTGTGGATTCTTTGAAAGTTTGCTGCGATCGCCGAGCATAATAGGCGGTGGCCAAGGCGGTGAGGATGGCGAGCATCAATTGCCGATCAGGGCAGGCTGCTCTTTACTTGTCAGGGTGTGAATACGCCAAACCAAGACTGACTTCGACCTCGGGCACGCTGTCAATGTGTATTACTTGAATATTTCCATTCTGTGCAGCCACGAGAAAACAAATGCTACCTGAACATTCATAGCGCAACCCCAATTTAATGGCGGTGTTCGGTCACCACCTCTCAGTCTCGCATATGTTGGGAGTCCGTCCGCTCCTGCGAGCAGCGGCCTCAGAAGTATGTGGTGCTAAAGCGCGTATTCCTCACCAGATCTTTCCTAGCCGACTAGCATCGACATGGATGCAAGATACAGACAAAGCCTCCACGAAGAGTGAAAACCGCCGACTATCTGGCCGCATCCATATTCTCGGAGTTGGAAATGTTGGCACATTTGTCGCCCATTCGCTCGCGAGCCAGCCCTCTCCACCACCCATCACTCTTCTTTTCCACAATCCGGGGGTTCTCTATGCTTTTCAGAAACGGAAACAGTGCCTGGCCGTCAATAGCGCTGGCCTAGACGACATCAAGACTGGCTTTGACGTCAGTGTCCTCTCCGACGGAACTTGGTACTCGTTGCCTTATGGAGCCGAAGGGAATAATGCGCCGGCGGGTGGAGAACGCATCGCTGAAAATATGGCCGAAACTGAAGCCGAAATTGAGGCTAAAATGGCAGATATTGAAGATGATACCGAACCAATTGAGTGTTTAATAGTCACCGCCAAAGCACCTGCAACTGTAGCTGCTCTGCGATCTGTACAGCACCGATTGACACCCGAATCTACCGTACTGTTCATCCAAAACGGCATGGGGGTTATTGATGTAGTAAACAAGAAAGTTTTCCCGGAGCCTACACTCCGTCCACACTACATGCTTGGTATCGTCAGTCATGGCCTTGCTCAGCGACAGGATAGGTTTCATGTCACGCACACAGGGGTGGGCACAACGATCCTAGGTCCAGTGCCATCACAAAACTCCGGAACCCTGACATCAACCGACAAGGAGCCAGACTGGGCCCCGAGTACCAAATATTTACTGCGCACATTGACACTTACGCCGTCTTTGGTTGCTGTTGCGGAGACCCCTTCCTCTATCATGCTATATCAGCTGGAGAAACTAGCCATGAATTCCATTATCAATCCATTGACTGCATTGATGAACTGTCGAAATGGCGAAATCTTGTATAACTATAGCTTCACGCGCGTGATGAGATTACTTCTTTTTGAGGTCTCCAGCGTGATCTGCAGTTTACCAGAGCTGCAAGGCATACCTGGGGTCGAGGGTCGCTTTTCTCCGGAGCGTTTGCGCGGGATGGTAACGCAGCTTGCAAACAAAACCGCCAAAAACCACAGTTCCATGCTGCAGGACGTGCGATCCAACAAAACAACAGAGATCGAGTTTCTAAACGGATACATTATACGACGGGGTGAGGAACTCGGCATAAAATGCGTGGCGAACTACATGATCAAACACCTTGTGCTTGCAAAACAACGAGAATCACGGCAGAAGGATCTCAGCGCTATTCCTATTGACATCACAGATGACCCCAAGAACAGGGGGTCTTGACCGTTTACATGTGATTAACGCATTTATGCTCAACATGCTACGGCTTGCAAGGCTTTATTACAGAGTCCCTTAATTTGCTTCCACCTCTTTAGCAACATTTGCACCTTCCCCTGGTGCTCCTGGCCTATCTTGCTAGATCCAAGATTACCCAATTCCCCTATAGCAAAATCCGCCTCTTTTATATATGTACGGATCCATTCTCGGATAATGTCTTCCGACTTCTTTTCATCTACTCCTCTGGTAGAGTAGCCGAGGACGTAGTTTTGCCAATCTTCGAGGGACATATATTTAATGCAAGCCGCGATTTCGGTCCGGTAACACACTCCCGTGGCTGTGACTTGATAGTTTCTAGTCGAGTGTAAGCAGAGAACTCAAACATGGGCACGGAAGACCAAAATTTACCCGAAGTACTGCTGCAGGTTCAGCTCTTCCTGAATGGACGCGCTGAGGTCTTGAAATACTATATCATCCAAGTATAATGTCTCGGATTCGTTCTGGTCTAGGTAAAATCCATCTACCAAAATCAGCAAACAGGAAGGAGAAATCATAAGCTACGCTTGCCTCACATTCGGTGAACAGAAAGTCATTTGGATGAGGCCCATAACTCATGAAAATCTCCTCGCCTGGCTCTACATTAAAAGCTGTAAGCAGTCTATTAAAAAAAATTTAGCTTCAACAGGCACGTACCATACGCTTTCACAGCCCTAAAGACGTATTCTTGGCCATCAAACTTAACATCACACTGTATTAAGTCAGCAAATCGGTCTTGCAGTTTACTGCCAATCGCACATACTGCCACATCGGAATGATTGAAGTAATCAGCGAATGGAAGCAACGCCATAGCATCGTTCCGATCTTCAGGTGGCCCCTGGCCAGGCATCAGATAGAAGAAGCTCCTGGTGTTGACAATCAACCAGTAATAGGAGTAAATTTCCTTGCTGGTCTCAGGGAAAACAGCAACCACGCTCTCCCAGGCCTTGCGCAGTCGTTGTTCCTGCTGGGGGAGAAGCTTCTGGTGGGAAGACTCATATTCGAACTTCAGTTTCTCTTTTGGAACACTCTTCCAGCAACCTGATATTGACGGTGGTAGAATAGTGGCCGGTCCAGAAGAGGAGCAAGCACGCAATGACTCTGGCCATAAAATCGGCATGCAATCTTCAAAATCGTCCTGGGTTGGCCAGGTTTTTCTCCAAAGTTCATACGGCTCCAGGTCCTCTGGCTCGCCATGACACAAAAATGCCGCTAGAAGCGCATGTACCGGCGTTCCTTCGGCAAATTTGCTAGCGAATGAAGATGGAATTGTGTCTACTGTCAACATTACTTTTCGTGGGACTCGCACAATCGCCTCGTTCTCCTATGTACAGACCTTAGAATGCGAAATACTTCACAGATGCGGGACATGCGGTCACGTACTTGTATACTCCGCATGGCTAGCATTCCTAGACCACGCCCTGGGAATTTTGCTGGGCCAACCCCATTCACAATGATGCCCTGAGATATTGCCCATTGCGTGAACAATTCATGTTCCTCGCCAGGCCACCAATCTGGCCTCATGTTTCTTGTCCGGGAAAGGACCTGAAAATGCAAATTTTGACCGACCCTACTTTATATGTTGGCAAAATTCACGTCGGAAACGACATGTTTGGTCACACTATTCCACTGTACTAAACTTCTTATGAGCAAGGGTTGATAAAATCAAAATTATCACCGTTATCAATCTTTTATCAGTAGTACGGTGGGGCACAAGGGCCACCTGCGTCGCCCGGAGCCCTCCTCCGCATCAGACCACCTCCGAACTCATCTCATCCTGGTTTGAATACCAAACAATGTCTGTCTGAACTTCTAGCAGCAAATGTCGCTCTTGAAGAGACCAGGGCCTATTGCTCGCAATGTGCGAGAGATTGCACTACCATGCACACGTATCCCCCCGCCCGCATGCTCGCGCTCTTTCTCCGGCCTCAATCGCCCACCACCAAAATATCCCCATCATGTGCCGCTCGGCTTCTTTGAGAAGGGGTTTCTCGCCATTGGTTCTGCAGCAGGGGCACTACTCAATCCTCGAAGAGCTGGTCAGTCTGAAACTACTGGAAAAGGGTACTATCCTGAAAAACTAACTCAATTCTCCTGATCTAGACCTAATCGCAACCCTCGGCGAAGTAACAGCAACACCATACTTTATATATAGACTCCGCAATGCTATGCTCCAAGATCCTACAGGCCGACAAATTCTCCGCGACCGCCCACGCATTACCTCCGAAACACTCCCTCTTCCCTACCTCCGTTCCCTCCCGGAGAACTCGGTCGGACGGGCCTACGCCGCATGGCTAGACAGGGAAGGCGTCTCCCCAGATACCCGCGATAATGTGCAGTACATCGATGACCCAGAATGCGCATACGTCATGCAGCGATACCGCGAGTGTCACGATTTTTACCATGCTGTGACTGGGCTTCCTACATTCGTAGAGGGCGAGCTGGCGCTGAAGGCGTTTGAATTCTTGAACACGTTGATCCCGATGACGGGACTTAGCATGGCTGCATCTGTACGGTTGAAGCCTGCGGAGCGGGAAAGGTTATTTTCGCTGTATCTTCCTTGGGCAGTGCGTAGTGGACTGTCCAGCAAGGAACTTATCAACGTTTATTGGGAGAAAGTTCTAGAGAATGATGTTGACGAATTGCGGGCGGAGCTGGGGATTGAGAAACCGCCGGACATGAGAGACATTCGACGAATGATAAGGATGCAGAAGAAAAGGGAGAAGGAACGATTGGAGGGCAAGAGTTCCTAGGCTTCTTTGTGCTTGGTGAATAACTTGTGTATTTTTAGCGAGATGTATAGATGTATATTACCCCACTTAACAGCTTTCGAAGCAGAGCAATAACAAGCGATGACTTGTCCCTTCACCCCTAACAATTGAATGTCTCCAATCCACGTAGATAGGCATGTTCATTTTATCAAAAGCCCAGGTCAGCAAATGTAGCTTAAAGCAGGTGATCGGATGCGTCGTAAATCATAGCCTTCCATAACCATGCCTCTTTCCTTCTCACAGATCCAGTAGATCGTCGTCATCATCCCATCCGCCCTTACGCCGATTAATCACAATCTTCTGCTCCTCCTCGTCCTTGCGCTGATTCTCCGCCACGGCATTCAGAAGCTGTTTGAGTTGCTCTTCTGTGACCTTTTGTCGTAGTTGACCTGTCTGCGCAAGCATGATGAGTCTGTTCTCAATATCCATAGCACGAGACTCCTTCACCATGCGGATACGCCCTAGACGATCTGCGGCTTCCGGTTCAAGGATCTGGTTTAGGATACTGGTGCGTCGTTCGGCTGGAGACAGACGGACGTATTATGAGCGGGTGTTGTAGCAATTGGGGGGGGAAGGGGGGGTGTCCAGGAGAGCCTACCTTCAACTTGTCTGGCGAAAATGGCGGGTTAGTGATTTCTCTTGATCGGGGCATATCACGAGCCTGAAATCATACGTACTTTCTTTGGTCTTCTTGGCCACCCTCTGATGGCCCCGGGCCACCCCGCGGGCCACCGCCCTGTTGCTGGAGTTGCGCAAGACGAGCTCGCCTGATCTATAGCGGTATTCATGTCAACCCGACTGCGGGTATTGTGTGACCGGGTCCGAATTGGGAGCGGCATGTACTGACCTCCTCTAGCTCTGCGTCTGCCATGGCTCTTCCGAGAAATAGTTGGGGTAGTCTGACAACAGAAAATACGTGAGGGAAAACAAAGACGGAGCTTCTCGATAGAGATTGAATATTGCGTCAGTCGATCTGAAGATTTGTCGCGCTGATAGAAGCCGAACCCCACTCAAACTATGGCCTGAGGCAACAAAGTTTCAAGACGGGGGTGGGGCTGAATTCAATACTACTATTCCAAATCGCGGCAGGTCAGACTCCGAGAATCATGCCGGATCACGGATGGCTGTGATTATGGTCATTGCGCCATTGACGCACGTTTTCCTCTTGCAGAGAAGATATTGACCCGCCATTGGTTGGTGCCTGAGCTTGTGTCTTGCTCTCAAGTAGGCAAGGAAGGAAAAGTGTATTACCTTCGGAGTATTCAAGGCTTGAAGCCGAATCGCCCCGCTGTAGTCCCCATTGTATCCTGTTTTCCTCTAAGTACTCCGTACAATTATTACTGTGACAGCCCCAGTGGATGATATATTGTTGGGTTGGTTGGTCAAGGGATGCACCATTGATACATGTGACGCTTAGCAAACATTTGATCCAGCCTGCATGTGGTCGTCACTGTCTGGCAGAGAAGCTCCAAGTTAATAAGGCAGCAAGAGCCCCCCCACTGACTACTTGTACGACGTCGGAACGCGCAATTGCACTCTGAACAGCTGTTTCAAAGTGGCTTTGGTGTGATCCCTTGCGCTGTTTGTTAGCAAGTTCAGCAAGATCGGCGCCCTGTCTGTCATGTTTCTGACGAGGTCGGTTATTTTGCTCCGATGAATGGTCACGAGCAAATCAGTCTAACAGATGCTGGAATAGCTATGATAATAACACGAAATATTAATATATTCATGTCGCAATCACATATTGGAGCTCGGCTTCGCCTTGTGATAGCAAGGATTCGTGGAAACGCGAATACACGTCACATGATTAAGTAGCGGTCATTTATGGTAAGTAATTCGCCACTACGGTATGGCCGCGGTAAATACGGCTCGGAGGAGTGGCTCCGCCGGGATCCTCCTTGAGCCCTTGACTGACGAAGAGGCTGCGAAGTGCTTCCACCACCAGCAACATTCCTCATCTGCTAGCCGCCTTGGAAGAGGGGTTCGTTCCATCTCCAACTCCCTCTTCCTGTCGTCACTCACATTCCTTATTCCAATATCACCTCGCCCCGGCCCGCCCAGTCTACCTTCGTTCTGCTGCCTCGCATCCGCTCCCTTCCCAGCCTTGACCTCATTCCTCTTCTTCGGCGTCAATGCGTCCCAACTGAACCCATTAGCGCCTCCTCGAGTTACGCGCCGATACGAATCCTGTCTTCCAAGCTCAATATCTCGCAAATCCAATCTCCAGCACTCTTTCTTCGAATCGATCCGTTTTCATGAGAGCGACAGATTGACTATCTGCCTAATAGTGACGTCTATCTGGTCCCGGCGCCTCCCCCCGTCGCCGACTCCCCGACGAGATCCTCGCCACCATGGCAGAGTATGTTCCCAAACTCAAAAGCGTTATGAGGCAAATTCTAATTCATCTATAGTTTAATCGCCTTCCATTCTTACTACTCTCACCAGAGTTTCCTCTCACCCTCAAACATGATTCCACGCCCCAGCCACAAACGCTCCCTTTCCTCTGGTAATAGGTCTGCTTCGCCAGAGCGACAAGTTACGAAAGCCAAATCCACAAATGACCTCTTGAAAATCGCCGCTACACCCCCGGCTACAGCCGTTCGATCCTCGAGTGAAGGTGGATTCACCGACGCCGGTTTCAGCACGCTGAAGGACCCGAGACTTGTACCAAGCTCTGAATCATCAGAATCGTCTACACCACCTTCGCATCACCCGGACCTCAACGATGAAGTCGCAACGTTAAGTTCAAAGCTAGTACAAGCCATCAATAATCAGACAAAGCTCGACGACACTCTAGTCGCCACCCGTCAAGAATTAGAGCAAGCCCAGGAAAGGGTTCGCGCTCTAGAGTTAGAGAACGATAAATACCGACGAGACATCGATGAAAGTGTATACGTGAAGAAAGTCGACGTTGATGATGGATTTGCGCGTTTGGAAGCCTCTTTAGAAGAGGAGAAGACGCAGCGTATCATGATCGAGAAGGAGAAGAAGGGCATTGAGCAGGAGCTAGAGACACTCACTGCTGCTCTTTTCGAGGAAGCGAACAAGGTAAATTAACGATCTGACTATGCCTTTAAAACTCTTTCGAATTTCTTCCTAACTTCGGTTCAATAGATGGTCGCTGCTGCCAAACTCGAGCGTGAAGCTGTGGAGAAGAAAAACGAACAGTTGCGCTCCCAAGTCAAGGACACAGAATCGCTCCTCGCCTCGCATCAAGAACAACTAGCCGAGTTGAAATCCGTCCTCCAAGTTATGAATATTTCAAAAGATGACCTTGATGGCCGCACAGCCATTTCTACAGCACCACCTTCTCCAGCCGGCCCCTTACAACCACCTGCGTTTACGCGGAAGAGTATGGAAGCTACAGATATCCCTAACGATATTATATGCGCCGAAATTGCTCCAGGTCCTGCTACAAGCTTTCCTGAGCTCATTAAGACTGTATGTCGAACCGACGTACTAGGGTTCGAAGATTTTCGGGACCTATTTGCTACAGCAAAAAGCTCTAAACCACCCAGCCGAACGACCAGTGGGTCATACTCTGGGTTGAATGTCATGAGCTTAGCTAGCTTCAGCGGCGCGGGATTCGGCTCGGCCTCCTCGTCGCCCTCCAAATCTCAGACCCATTCACCGAATGGAAGTGTTTCCTCACCGCAACCAACAATTGCGAACATTCCTCTGAAGGATGCGCGTTTCTACAAGCGCGCACTTATGGAAGATATTGAACCGACCCTTAGACTTGATGCGGCTCCAGGAATATCATGGCTGACCAGACGGACTGTGTTAAGTGGTATCTGTGAAGGAAGCCTTGTTGTCGAGCCGATGCCATCAAATGTCAAGAAATATGAGTTTCCGTGCTCTCTCTGTGGCGAACGGCGAAACGGCTCTGATAACGAGCGGACCCACCGTTTCCGAACTTCTGACAGTGAAACAGCACAGCGATATCCGTTGTGCGTCCTCTGCCTAGAGAGGGTGCGCTCGTGCTGCGAGTTTACAGGCTATCTTCGCCTCATTCTTGACGGCCACATCCACGCCGAAGATGCCGACGATTTACAGGAGGCTTGGGAAGAAACAGTTCGCCTAAGAGAGAGGATGTTTTGGTCCAGAATTGGCGGTGGGATCGTCCCCATTTTCGCTCAAACGAGTGCCCCAGAAGACCATCTCGAAGAGCCTCAGCCCGGTGTTGATACTCCTATCCAAAATCCCGTGGTGAAAATCGAACAAAGCGATATACAGAATACCACTCTTGATCAGGAGAAAATCGCTGCAAGCATCCAGCCTGTCACGGCGGACGCCATGTCCTAGAGTTCTAATCCTAGGCATACCTAATTTATCACTTTGGCATTGTCAACATGTCTTCCTTTCATCTCGAGAATCGACTTGGCAAAACAAACCGCTCGTACAGAACTTCGACATTTGCTAAACGGTCATTCAGAAGTTAGAACCGCTCCGCAGATTGAACAACAAAGTTGTTCAAGTCAGCGGCAGGTCATAGCGGGATATAATTCAAGGTAGCATGACCTTAAGCGCGGGCCGCTTGTTATCTTTTTTTGCTTATGCTCCTTACTCTCTATTAACACCGTGCCAACGGGTATTCGTGGTGTTGTCGCTTTTAATATCTTGTGTCGTCTATCACCTGCGACCAGCGCCCGCATCTTGTATTAATACTAATATTGTTCTGCTTCGTTTGATTTCTGTGTATGGTCTTATTTCCTAATATTTTCTTTTTCAGTATTCTTTGTTGTTTTTCTTTCCTCCTTTTCTTTTCTTTATTGCGCTATTCCCTTGATCTGTTGGGGACTCATCATACGGCGCAACGGGAGTACTTTTGTTTTGTTCTTCTCATGGGTGATTCGTTTATTACTGATTCTATTTCGTGTTATACATTTATGGCTGCAAGGTCTTATGCATGAAGGGGATGATCTACGAGATGGTTAGTTGCTATACCATGGGTTTATGGCCTTGATATTACATTGCAATTCAAAAATGATTTTTCAAAAAAGACAATCTTCCCAAACACCGAAGCTCTTAAGTTCAAATACCAGAGTTATCGGCTAATTGTAGGTTCAAGACGCCGGTAGATTTGATGAACAATCATAAAACACGATAAATACTCTACAGGTAGAAGCGGGTACTCTTGGGACAGAAAACTATTGTACTATTTCGAGAAAAGTTCCCATAACCATCAAACTCCAGAGAATGAAGACACAACGCCAACACAATAGGCCCCCAATGAAAAATTATGTCCTCATCATTGCTTATACCGCTCATGAAGATGCCTGATCTGATCCTCGATATTCATGTTTTGAGGGTTCGCTGGCCCGCCCATAGGGCCCGCCGGCTGCTGCTGCTTCTGCTGCGGCCCGGCTCCCGGGGCTCCTTCAAACGCCATACGCTTCTTCCTGGCTTCTTCCTCAGGGTCAGGAACGCCTTGGAGAGCAGTAGAATCAAAGACGTCGCTTCGCTGGCTAGCAAGTCGTTTGAGGTTACCAACCACGTCTGCTGTAGAAAGGTTGGTTGTTGCGGTTCGGGCCTGGGTCTTGGCCTGTTGTTCTCGCCAGCGGGGATCCAGCATTTCAATGCGCATGTGTTGTTGCAATTCTGCTTCGGGAATTTGCTGTTTACAGTTTGGACAGAGAGCCATAGCACCTGCGGCGTTCTGGCGGCGAGCTTGCGCACGTGGGACGTAGTCGGAGCGGATGCGCATTGGTTGCTGGCCCGGAGCGGCTTTGGCCGCGGCAGCTTGTTCGCGGGCCTCCATGCGTTCTCGGATGCGTTGCTCTTCCTCTTGGGCTGCAGCTGTTGCAGCAACTGGCGGAATTGGAACGGCTTGAGGGGGTTGTGGCTGAGGGGAATACACAGGACCGACCGGTTGAACGACGGGCTGGGGCTCTGGCTGTGTGGGGTAGGCGTTGTAGTATGTGGGTATTTCCATGTCGGTTGGCATGGCTTCTTCAATGCGGAGAGGATTGAGCGACATCATTGCTTTCTGCTCTAGGGAAGCCGACTGCAGGTCGTTTAGGGAGGTTGGCGGGGGCAGGTCGGCTTGATCGTCTGCTTCCGTAAAGAGAACCGTTTCCACAACCACAAAGTCATGCCAATCAATTTGCGCATACTCTATCCGCTCGGCTTCTTCCTCTTCTTCCTTCTTTTGTTTCTGCTGTTCCTGGTATTTCACCCACTCCGCGCGCTCCCTTGCGCGCTCTAGAATATGAAACTTATTCTTCACATTGTGCTCCAGTTCTGCCACTCTCTTCTTCTGAGAAGTAGCTTCATCCGCACCCTCTGGTCGCAAAAGAATGGTATACTGGTCGACCAATCGCGTAAAAAACTGATAGAGACTGTGCTGTGGTCGAAGGAAATCAAACTGGAAGTTCCTCGCTTCTCGCTGAGAAAGAGCGGTCATAAAAGACTTCCCCCGTTTGGCTACAAAGAGAGCCGTGAGCCTGACAACTTCCAAATCTTGCGCATTGATTATCGGCATTCGTGCTGAGAAGTGAAACTCTGGAGGCTCTGCAGGTCCTTTGGGTGCTTCGGGTGCTGGAGTCGGAGTCGGCTCGCCTGGGCGGCCAGCAGACACATCAGTCCCTCTCCCCTCCTTGATCTCATTGAGACGCCATTGGTAGAATGGTGCATACGGGTCATTCGAGTTTAGGAATGAAAATTTAGGGTTGTTCCGTTCCTTTTCGCGTACGCGATCTAAGAAACCGAGAAGTTAATTTGCAATCCTGAGATAGCGTATTCCAAAAAAAGAAATTGCGAAATACCTTCAAATACGGCGCCATTTCGGGCGACATAACCAGCTGTCTTCTCAACAATCGCTATACAAGCCGTTAGTATGCGCATTACTTCGCAGGCGGATTGAGAGAACTGACCTCGAATGTCCTTTGGTGGCAAGACCACCCCCTCGGGAGGTTTGCTCACATCGTCTGGGACAGTTGGTGTGTTGCCGTTACTCATGGATGCCATCTTAACGACACCGGCCAGAGCGTTCGGTGGGTGAGGAGGGTGCTTGGGGGAGCGATCTAGAAGCTTGGGGTTGATCCCAACTGTCAAAGACTCGGCTTCATCTTTCTCGCGACCGAAGCGGTTAGTTTAGCCGCGCGCCTCTCTGCGGCTGCTGTGACTGGACCAATCTACCGCCAACGCTAGTCCCAAACAGGATGGCGATCATCTTATGTAAGCTCAGGTCTTCTCCGGCTGTCGCAGCCTCAAACGTGAGACAAGTGAACTGTTGGTTTCAGGCCCCATCAAGACCATCAGGGAATTGCTCCAGGTCCAACCAGCAACAATAATTGCTTTAAGCAAATTCTGTAGTGAATTAATTGTTGAAGTAATTTGTAGTATAGACTGACTGTTTTCGTCCAATACCCTGCATCTAGACCCCTGCCACCAGCTTGTATGCTCAACTGCTTAAAGCGGGTTGGCCTCACCTCCGTAAAAAGGGAGTTCCACTGTTCACTGTTAAGCGCATCCACACGTGTTAAGTTCATCGTTCGGCTTCCTTTCACCACTCCATCCTACCACTTTATAAGGCTCTGTCACTCGCTTCTCCTTTTCTTCCCCTGGTCATGGCACTGTGTGACTAGTGGCCACTGCTTCTTCAATTCTGCCATTACTGCTGTTCCTCGACAATATCAATTACTTAACCTTCCCAGCGTGACCCTTGGCGGCGTCTGTCCGTCGGCGTGTTGTCGAGCTGCCAGCTTCAATTCCGTGCCAGTCGACTGCTCCTCGGCCCCTCTAAATGATACTCTAATTATTTGTCGTCTATTCATACCATTGGAATACCTCACACTCTCTTTTGCCTATTTATAAGCTTCTCTGTCGCTCCAGGAGTCCCCGCTCCAAAATGGCGCCGCAATCCAAGAACACCTTGGACGTTCGCCCTCCACGGACCTCGTCTCGCTCCCCCAGTCGCTCGCCCCGGCCGAAGAACCGCAAGAAGGCTGCGGCTGCTGCTGCCTCGAGCTATCAGTCAGATGGCGTCACAAACAATAATATATTCAATCTCCCAACGTCCGATTACAAGGTCATGGTTCTGGTGACAATAGTTGCCGCCGTGGTGCGGCTGTTCAGAATCTACCAGCCGACAAGCGTTGTCTTTGACGAAGTGCAGTATGTCTTAACCCGTCTGGGATATCTATTCTACGTGTAGACGGTTCTAATATGGAATGAACAGCTTCGGCGGGTTCGCGACGAAATACATCAAGGGCCGCTTCTTCATGGATGTTCACCCCCCTCTCGCCAAACTCCTCATTACACTGGCCGGATGGCTTGCTGGCTTTAAGGGCGACTTTGATTTCAAGGAGATTGGAAAGGATTATCTTGAACCCGGGGTGCCTTATGTCGCGATGCGAATGCTCCCCGCAATCCTGGGAGTCCTCACAGTGCCAATTATGTTCTTGACTTTGAAGGCTACGGGTTGTCGTACCGCCACCGCTGTTCTGGGTGCTGGTGCCATCCTCTTTGGTGAGTGTCTCTGATCGAGTCAGCAAGGAGTATGTATACTAACTCTGCGCAGAGAATGGATTGGTCACGCAATCTCGCTTTATCCTCCTGGATTCTCCCCTAGTGTTTTTCACGGCCCTCACTGCTCTAGCCTTCACTTGCTTCACGAATCAGCATGAACTAGGGCCATCGCATGCCTTCCGCGGACCCTGGTGGTTTTGGCTGGCGGCTACTGGTCTGTGTCTAGGTGCTACTCTGAGCGTCAAGTGGGTCGGTCTGTTTACAGTTGCTTGGGTTGGTTCTCTGACTATCCTGCAACTGTGGGTGGTACTCGGCGATACAAATACTGTCACTCCCGTATGTGGTTCTTGCTTTCCTCCAACTAATCAATACTTTTTACTTATCAATTATTTAGCGTCTCTGGTTCAAACATTTCTTTGCCCGGGTATTCTGCTTGATTGTGATTCCCTTGGGATTCTACTGCGCTATGTTCGCAATCCATTTCCTATGCTTGGTCAATCCGGGAGAGGGCGATGGATTTATGTCCTCTGAATTCCAGGCAACTCTGAACTCTAAGGGCATGGCAGCTGTGCCTGCGGACGTTGTCTTCGGCTCTCGTCTTAGCATCCGCCACCACAATACGCAGGGGGGATACCTACATTCCCACAGTCATATGTACCCCACCGGCAGCAAGCAGCAGCAGATCACCTTGTACCCTCACAAGGATGACAACAATCTTTTCGTTGCGGAGAATCAGACCCAACCTCTTGGTCTCGATGGGGCAGAAATTATGGGACCCCTTGCGTGGGACAATATCACTACAAATTATATCGAAGATGGCGCTGTTATTCGACTCAATCACATATTGACCGGCCGACGAATTCACTCCCACAATGAGCGGCCCCCAGTGACTGATGTCGATTGGCAATTCGAAGTTTCTGCATACGGATACGAAGGATTTCCTGGTGATGCGAACGATTACTGGCGCGTTGAAATCGTCAAGTCTATGTCAGACGGGGAGGAATCAAAGAAACGGCTACGCACCATTCAGTCAAAATTCAGACTAGTCCACGTTATGACCGGCTGCGTTCTATTCTCCCACAAGGTCAAACTTCCCGAATGGGGGTTCGATCAACAGGAAGTTACCTGCGCAAAGGGCGCCTCTATGCCCAACAGCATTTGGTACGTTGAAAACAACAAGCATCCAATGATACCTCCAGATGCGGAGAAGGTCACCTATCGAAACCCCGGCTTTTTTGGCAAGTTCTTCGAACTCCAGAAAGTGATGTGGACTACCAACGCGGGCTTGACGGATTCCCACGCCTGGGACTCCCGCCCACCGTCATGGCCAACTCTACTGCGTGGTATCAATTTCTGGGGAAGAGACCACCGCCAGGTCTACCTCTTCGGGAACCCATTTGTCTGGTATTTGTCTACCGCGGCTGTTTTGATTTATGTGATCTTCAAGGGGATTTCTGCTATTCGCTGGCAACGGAACTGTGGTGATTATCGCAATTCCACCTTCAAAAGATTCGACTATGAAATTGGTACTGCAGTGCTCGGCTGGGGTTTCCACTATTTCCCGTTCTATCTCATGGCACGCCAGCTCTTCTTACACCACTATTTCCCTGCACTGTACTTCGCTATTTTAGCACTGGCCCAGGAGTTTGACTTCATCACGAACCGTATCCGCAGCTTGGGCCTCCCCTCGCGACCTGTCATTGGCAAAGCTCTGGCTGGTGTCTTCCTCGGGCTCACGATCTTCACATTCACTCTTTACTCTCCTCTCGTCTATGGCAACCCATGGACAAAGGATGCCTGTCGGCAAGTCAAGCTCCTGAAGACGTGGGACTTTGACTGCAATACTTTCTATGCCGACGTAAGTAATTAAGCATATCCATGTCAATAAATGAGTCACCTAGTATTTTGGAATGATAAAGTCTGACAATACTCATCAGTTGAACCAATATGTGACCCAGTTTGCAGGCGTAAACCAGGCTATTCCAACGACGCCAGCAGCTATCCCCCAATCTTCTAAGCCTGCCCAGGCTGAGCCAAAGCAAGAAAAGAAGCAGGAGAAGGTAGAAAAGAAAGAGGAAAAGAAAGAGGAAAAGAACAAGCAAAAGCCCGTTAAAGATGAAAATCCCAAGGCGAGCATCACAACAAGCACTCCAAAGATTCGCGGAACCCAGGCGCGAGTAGAGTACCGTGACCAACAAGGCAACATCCTTGATGAGGCTGTGGTTGAATCACTGCGGAAGGAGGGCAAGGTCTCGTTCGAGACGAAGCATGAGACCCGAACCCGCCTAGAGCATGGCCACATAGTCGACGTTGTTGATGGCAAAGTTGCCCCTCCTCATCCAGATGTTGAAGGCCAAAACCCTGAAACCCAGGAAAAGCCTGAGGAAATCGCGGAAGACAGCCCAGCCCCCGCAGCTAGTGCAGGAAGCTCTGTAGAAGAGCCCAAGGCCCCCGAAGCCAAGCCAGCCAGTGAGGGAAATGAGGCGACACCCTGAATGGATATATAAGTCTGCCTCCATTCCGGCGCACCTTACCATATTCTATTCTCTCTCTTCAAATTTTCTTGTTTTACACTACCCGTTTGACAAAACTGACTTCTCTGTACCTTTTTTTTTTTTTAATAATTCTCTATTCTGAACTGACGGATTGTGACATTGTACATGTTTACTTTGATAGCGCTATATAAGCTTACAGGCGTAGAGGAACAAAAGAAATCTCCAATTGAGTGACGTAAAATCAAATTATGCACAAGCTCTCGAATAAAGAGTTTCTTCCCCATCATCTAGTCTTCACACAAGGATTTTAGTTGTACAGCGATCACCATTTGAGGTACTTCCAGCCCAAACATACTGGCAGTCCGTATCTAAAAATCGTATTCCTCCTTTCCGTACTTGTTGAAACGCTCGTGGAGGTCCTGGGGGAGGGGGGCGAAAAGTCAGCTAAAACGCAATTCTCGGAGCAGGATCTACGGGAACAAAGCCCATAATTCATACCTCTGGCAGAGTAACGTTGGGAACAATGACAGTGTTCAGGGCACTGGGCGCGTTCCTCAGGGGCTGGCTCTTGTCACCACCAGGGTGGTACTGGTACTTGTAGGACTTGCCGCCCTCGTCCTCACGCTCCCAGGGCATAGAGCTGTCGGGGATGCGGACATTGCTCTCGGAGGTGACGGAGGTGGGCTTCTTGCCGAAGTACCTATTGACATGAAACAATTAGCAACTGATACTTAAGCCCAATACGCCATTGAGCTTCAATTGAGATGACTAGGAGTTGTCGCTTTCGACATCTCCTGACGATACCAAATATGGCATGATCAACTTACCAGCCAGCAATCAAGAAAGCACCAGACATAACACCGAGCAAAACCTATTTCCAATTAGACACGCATGCCTTCAAAATATGATTTCAAGTCGACAGAATTCGTGGGGAAGTCCGTACATAGAGCTCGGGGTCACGCTTAGGAGCCTTGTCGAGGCTTGATTCCTCCATCTTGGAGCTGTAGAGGCGGCGCTGGGGAGCGCGGAAAACAGCCTGGCGGGCAAAGGCCCGGCGAGAAGCCATGGCAGCGATTGAAGACATGGTGTTGAGTTGGGTAAACGGAGTGCGGTGGCTGCGAGGACTGTACAGGAGCACTTAGCGGCAGAAGTGGGAGGGCGAACTTCGAGGTGAGGTCTCGGACGATGACGGCGCAATCATAAGATCGCATCCGGTTGGTCAGTCGCATAGTGTGGCGCTTAGTCATCTGGTCTACCGAAGAGACCAAACACTCGCGATTGTATCATGGGCCCGGCCTCCTACAGTGTCCGTGCTTCTACTCGCCTTTCCAATATCGCTCACTTTCCTCTTTTTCGCGTGCCCTGGAGAATTGGTGGCAATGTTGGTGGCGTAACGTCGACGTGCTGCTCAGTTTTTGCGAGTAGTTTTCCGACCTCGAATTCGCAAGGTATGTGGCTGAACCCCCTTTGGCGAAACAGGGGCAGAAGTCGAGACCCGAGCCTCCCTATCGTGAAATGTGCGGGCTGGTAGAATTTACGGCGCAAAATGCTAACTATATATCTTCAGCTCTAGGCCACTTACGCTCTTTACCCTGCTGGTTGCTCTCGGGTTGATATTTGTGTTTTGCTCTTGTCGCTCCTTACCACCTCCTGGGCTTCGCCGAATACTATACGCGAGTCTCCACCGCGACATAATATTTTGCGACGATAATCAACATATCACATCGCTTCCAATATCTTCCGACTACAATGGCTTTCCAGTCAAGCAATTCGGAAAACATTGAATCCACAATTCCCCCCACTCAGCATGCTTTAGGTCTCCCGCGCCCTCCATCCGTCGGGGGTATTTCGTCGCGAGTGACGGATGCGTCTGAGGATGGCGACAATTCACGGACAAATACTATGTCGTCCCAGGTACCACAGTCGCGGCCATCTGTGTCCCGAAGAGGGCCTCCGCCAGCAAGGAGCTCCATTGCTTCTGCCAACCAAATAAGACCAGAAAGCTCGGGCAGCAGGTTAAGCCGCACTCACATCCCGTCGCTCGCTGCGTCCGGCTTCTTCCGGCCCATGTCATCGCAACGCCTGCAAGCTCATCGAGGCCGCCCGGTAACCAAGGACACGACCGCTTCGACAGAGGAATGGGGGGATCAAAGCAACCACAACCGACGGAGCTTAATATCGAACAGCACCTTCCCAAACTCTCTTCCAGCAGTGGAGCAAGAGGTTCCCCCTTCGCGCGGTACCGAGTTCACCGACCCCATTATCCCCGATAGAAACAACTCAAACGCCAGTCCTACAGCAGATACGACGGTGAGAAGTGAAAGTGCAAACCTTATACATGATAGGGAACGCCCTCCACAACTCAACCTAGGCGTGAACTACAGAGGCACAAACGAGGTTGAGACGCCTCAAAGGTCTCCGCTCTCTTTTCTCTCTCTCCAGAACAGGAATGGCCCCGCAGAAAATCGCGATAGCAGAACGCATGAGCGATTATCGTCTGCGGATTCCTCACCAAAGTCTATCGAAAAGAGGACGGAGCCAGTCAAGAAGGGAAACAAAGGCAAAAACTACGAGTATTTCGTCGGGAACACCATCTTTTGGGGAGGGGGCAGGTTCCAAAATTCCAGAGACAAACCAGTCAACATTGCAACAGGTTTCCTCGTGCTTGTACCAACCGGCCTGTTCTTCGGATTTTCGTATGGGTTCCTTACTCCAAGTCACCTACGTTCGATTTCTAACAACGTACTTAGGGCTCCCTGGCTATGGCACAACATTTCTCCAGCCATCCCAGTTGTGTTTGGCTATCTCTTTTACTTATGCTTCTCCTCATTCATACACGCGTCTGTGGTTGATCCGGGGGTAAGCTAAGACTTTCTCTTATCCTGTGTTGACTCTCGCTAATTCGCCCCCAGATCATTCCTCGTAATCTTCATCAGATGCCTCCCCCTGACCCATCCGAAGATCCTCTCGCTGTAGGCCCACCGACGAACGACTGGGTAATGGTGAAGCTCGCAACCTCCAATGTCGCCGCCATGGATGTACCCGTCAAGTACTGCAAAACCTGCTCAATCTGGCGGCCCCCACGGTGCTATCATTGTCGCGTCTGTGATAACTGCATTGAGACCCTCGACCATCATTGTGTTTGGTTGAACAACTGTGTTGGCCGGCGGAACTACCGGTATTTCTTTGCTTTCGTCAGCACCTCTACGCTACTCGCTCTCTTCTTACTGGGTGCGAGCTTAGCGCACATCCTGGTGTATCGATCACGAGAGAGTATTAGTTTTGGCGACACCATCGATAAATGGAGGGTACCTTTTGCCATGGTGATATACGGAGCTCTAGCCGCGCCCTATCCCGCCTCATTGTGGGCGTATCATCTCTTCCTGGTTGGTCGCGGCGAAACAACCCGCGAATACTTGAACTCGCACAAATTTGCAAAGGCTGACCGCCACCGTCCTTTCACACAAGGAAACATGATTCGAAATTGGATGGCAGTATTTGGGCGAGCACGGCCACCAACATACATGCAATTCAAAGAACACTACCAAGAAGGAGACCAACGACTAAGTACTATGAAGCGAAAATTCCTTCCTCGCAATACTGAACCTCAGAACGACATTGAGATGCAGCGTGTGCCTCCTCCCAACTGAGGTTGGGGTTTGCTCTATTTATTTTATCTTCTTTTGATACCTTCATTCATTGACGATTTCCTATTACATCTTTTATTTCTTTTCATCCTACAATATAGTCTCTGATTTAATTCTCTCTTTTCACAACCCTTCTTTCTTTCTTTTTGTTAATATAGTGGCGGGCTTGTATGTATTCTAGGTAACTAGGTACCCGCTAGGTTTCGCTTTGTGATTTTCATAAATGGATGGACGGCTGTACTAGGTAACGGATTCTTATTTAATGTATGAAACTAAATCAATCTTGCGGTGAGTCACCAAGAGCGTGGTGACCATAATAATCGTTGTCATTATATATAATAATGGTGTTTTACGACATGAAGTGGTAGTGGCTCCCTTTTGCAGCAACCCATAAATTTATGCAAACATAACATAATGTTGGCCAATTCAATTTCACCTACTCTATTCATACTAGCATCAGGGTACTTATAATTAAATTATTCCTGTATGCCGGGGAACTATCATTGCAATGCTAATGAATGTTATCCATGGCATAGTAGCAGAGGCTGAGATCGATGACCATACCATACCGGGTATACTGGCCAGGAACCGCGCGACAACCAATGAACCTCAATGGCAATAACCGTGTGGGGACAATACAGCGCTAGTGTTTATTAGGGCAAGTGCAAAACTCCTCTGATCCACAGCATCCAGGGTGGGTTGGAAGTAGTGAGGATAAAGGCAACTTAACCTGGGATAATACTGGGCAGTTTAATTATAAAGCCCATAAGGAAGGATCGGGTTTATTTGGCTATCTGGGCGGGCTGCAAGGACCGGTTTATTGGAGTGTGGGTGGCTGAGTCGGATAAGAGCATCTGCATTGCCGCATCGTTGTCCTGAAGTAATCACGAACAGTAAGTATATAAGCTAGTAAGAGTTGACGGGAGATACCTTGTTTAGAAAACAGTAATCATTCGTTGAGAAACCTTCTCAGATAGGCGGTTGTTTTCCGGTGGGACATAATATTGTGAGCTGCTCGATCACCGCGGGGCCGAGTGGCTTTGATGGTGGGATGGAGATGCATTTTCCTTAGAGTTAAAAGGGAGAAAGGAAAAGGAAAGGACGAGAAAACCAAGGCTCTACAGTTACAAAGATCGCTCAGTTTCGTCATTCTGGTGTGTTGTAGTTAGCGCTACCACAATTTGAATGGGCCGTGAGACAAAACCCTGAGCCTTGGACATAGCGAAAGGCTGGAGAAGTTAATGGCGGATATTTCGCGTTTAAATTTACCCAAGACGTGACTATAAACCGTAGCCTGACACACAAACAGAGTTAGTTGCCTTGGAGGAAATCCGTTTGGACTTCTGGACTCTTCTCTCCGAGGTCGCCGTTTTGGAGTCGTTGCATGTCAAGAGAAAGCCTGACGATGACACCACCACCACCACCAGTGAGTTTGGTCCATTAAGTTGGACAATAGTGATATCAGCTACAGTATGATACATTGATGTCTTGGGCGTCAGTCGGGACCGAGTGTGACCGAAAATCTTATATCTTCAGGATTACTCTCGCAACCCTGAGTTGGCAAAAGGGATGCAGGCGATATCAGAATTTCTCAGATCTATGCCGGGTGTATTTTCAAGAGCCCTGGAGGTTTGAATGATCATGATGCGTGTAACTGCCGAGTGTTTGAAATTACTGCACACGACAATGGGGCTCTGGGGGCGGTTCACCAAGTGGGTGGAAGGGGTATAGATCGCAGCGGCTTCCAGCAGTACCAGCAGGGCGAGGGGTACGTTGGAAGCAAGCGCCGACATAAAAAACGAGGGAATTGGAGCCGTAGAGCAAGAACGAGGTAGAGTGAAGGATTTGTTGATGGGCAGAGTGCAGCAGCTGGGGGCATTCCGCGGCTGACTACTGGGGGAGTCGTTCTACCGTCCCCGTCCCTTCTCTCCTGCCATCCGCATCCTCCTCGCTCTTTCCTCCTTCCTTTCTCCCATTACCCCCAACTTCCACTTGCTCCCCTTCTCTTTCGCTTTCGAACCCCTCTCCATACCCCGACAAGCTGCTATCCTCGTGCGAAAATGGTCTCTTGCCTGTAGACCGTTTCTCGCTCTCCTGATAAGCGGATTTCTTCTCTCCAGCTTCTGGCCCAGCCCAGTTACAGACGGAACACTCCTTTCGTACTTAGGACACGGCCCTCGGAACTCCAGGCCTGCATATTATCCAGTGACTCTTGGTGTTATTCAACCGACCTCAACCACGACTTCCGCCGCCTGCTCCCGACCTGTGCCGTGTGATGGATGCTCGACTAGGATTGTCCGGCGCGTCTCCCGCAACTCCCGCAACAATCTCGGACCTCGTGAAGCACTCCCACGAACCCCACGGTCACGCAATGGCCTTTGAATACACCGAGCAACTTCTCACCCCTGAGAATAGCCGGTCCGAAACTTCAAGCAATAATGAAAACGCGTCTAACGAGGAAAAACCGACCCTACGCCGACGATCTACACGTGTAACGCGCGCCTCGTTGCGGGGAGAGGCAGAACTCGATGTTAACACAGAGATAGATAGCCATGAGGTATCATTGTCTGCAGCGACTACGGAACACACCAGTTTGAATGTTACTCTCGACAATGGCGCCGCGGCGCGGGGGAAGAACTCCCACTCCTCCCATCTCCGCCACAGTATTGCGATCATGGAGTCAGCTTTGCATAACGAAACCAGTCCCGCGCAAGATCCGATGGATATTGATGACAACCAAGTGGCCCCTGATACTCCTGTTTCCAAATCGTCCAATGGGTCGCAAACCGAAGATGTGCCCGTCGCCTTGCCGCCTCGAACTCTGCGCAAGCGCGTGGAGCAAGCATTGGCTCGTGACAAAGGAAGTATATCAGAGAAGTCCTCTAAATCTATAAATGAGGATAACAAAACCCCGATGAGGCGCTCGTCTCGCCTGAGTCTGCTAGAAAAGGTGTCCGATCTTGCTGGTCGCGCCAGTAGTGTTCTGGGCAAACGTTCGAGCAGCATGAGGGAGACAGGAAAGGAACCAGACAGACGATCGAGTCTTCGACCCAGACAACTTACTACGCCCAAGGAAGAACCAATCCGCAAAGAAGAGCCACCGACAAAGAAACGACGTGTTTCTGATAGTGAACTTCTAGCCAAGGATAAACCAGAACCGGAAACAACCAAGGAGGAACCTACATCCCCAGAAGCTATCAACAGATTTAAGGAGAAGCGTTGGCTGAGCCATGGGCTTTATTCTGGACAAGAATATACGAACTCGCGACCAAGCCAAAAGAGAACCGAAAAGGCAAGGAGGAAGAGCCACAACCAAACCCCAGCAAACCACCAGAGGAAGTTTCTACCACTGCCGATGTTTGCCGGAGAGAGATTGCTTCAAACTGGACGAGATTTTGAACTTCCTTTCGATATCTACTCCCCTCTTCCTCCAGGTCAGCCGAAGCCTAACGAGTGGAGGAAAACCAATAAAAGTATGTGGTGGCAATGAATTTGAATAGTACTGGGATACTAATCTTTGGAACAGATGTCTTTGTTGGTGAAGCTGGCAGTATATGGCGAGCAAATAAAGAGGAGGAGTTATCGAAATGTACCTGCACACCAGAGAGCGGCTGCGACCAATTTTGTCAGAACCGTTACATGTTCTATGAATGTGATAACAACATATGTGGTCTAGGGTCTGATTGTGGTAACAGAAACTTTGAAGAGCTCAAACAGCGCGCGAAGGCTGGGGGGAAGTATAACGTAGGTGTAGAGGTGATTAAGACCGCAAATCGTGGGTATGGCGTCCGCAGTAACCGCACCTTCGAGCCGAATCAGATTATCGTGGAATACACCGGCGAAATCATCACCCAAGAGGAATGTGAGAAACGCATGCGGACTATATACAAGAAAAACGAAGTATGCTCCCCCCTGGTCTTAAACGTGTTCTAGGCTTGATTCTGACATATTGTCCAGTGTTATTACCTTATGTATTTTGACCAGAACATGATAATTGATGCTACCCGTGGTTCTATCGCTCGCTTCGTGAACCATGGCTGTGAGCCCAATTGTCGTATGGAAAAGTGGACTGTGGCCGGAAAGCCGCGCATGGCACTCTTCGCTGGCGATCGGGGAGTTATGACTGGGGAGGAATTGACATATGATTATAATTTTGAGTGAGTATCTATCTCTGCATCCAAAAGCGCCGACCTCCAATCAGTTGTACTGAGTTCTTTCTAGCCCGTATTCGCAGAAGAATGTTCAACAATGCCGATGCGGTTCCTTACAATGCCGTGGTATCCTAGGCCCTCGAAAAAGAGAGAAGGAGCAGCGAGAAGAATTGAAAGCCGCCAAGATGAAGGAAATTGCGGATGCGAAGAAGGCGAATGCAGCAAAACGGAGAAAAGAGAATGCCCTTAACAAATCTCGCTCGCGCACTACCAAGAAGCGAAGGCCGTTAGCTTCATCATCTATCAAGACTGGTGTCAAGAAAGCTGTTTCAAGGGCGCGCGCCACTGCCACTAAGGCTACGGTGTCTCGGAAAAAGCCAGCGAATGTGGCCAAGAAGTCGACAAATGCCTCTCCACAGAAGGCATCAACAAACTCGAAGGGCGGCGCAACCGTCAAGTTACCCACGATTAAAGCTAGTCGGGCGAAAACTAAGACAACGGTGCGGGTTCAAAAGACCGCCCAAACCGCAAAGCCCAAGACCGAGAAGGCCTCTGCGCCGCCAACTAAATCACGCAAGCGTACCACGGACACCAAGACCAAAACCGCTACTGGAGCGAAGAGCCCACCTGCTCGCAAACAACCGAAGCCAAAGAAGGATGTTTTGAATGATATTCGCGCAATAGTCAACAGGGGAACTGTTACACACTCCCCGAGGGCAAAGCCCCCAGCCCGCACGTACGGCCGCTCAGCTAGGACAAAGACAAGTTGATCGGACTATTGGGCACGACAATTATTGTGGAGATTTGACTCCTGTTGGAAGCCCTTCGCCTTTTGTGTAGTTGATGCCCGTTGGGGACATTGAGCAGCTTTTTTGGCATCCTCCCATTTGGGCCCCTGTTCTGTCCTTCCATTACCTTTTCTTCTTTCTTTTTTTCTTTTTTTTCCCCAGGGAATCCCGTGGTATTTTGGGTGCACTCGTCCTTTCCGGTTACAGTACTCCTTGGGGTCCTTCAAGTTTGAGGAATTGGTGTTCTTGTATGTCATTTTTGGGATACATATGGCCTATCTTGATCTGTTTTGATTTTATCTGAGCCTATGCGTATTATGAGGATGTCCTTTTAGGTGTTATGTTGGTTCTATCTTTTCCATCGCAGGAAATCTTCACCGTTGAAAGTCGTTTGTTGATGACAGCTGCTATACTAACTTCATTAATCAAATCCAATGTAAATGATCCTATAATTTCTTTTTTTTCTCTTTATCAAATCTCATTTAGTATACAGTGAGCAAGCACGCGCGGGAAACCGGGGCTTCAGTTAGATTCGGCAAAATACAAATAAATAAACCTGAACACCCAAATCACCGCTAGACAGAACCATACGGAATAAAACTGGGAAAGAAAAACAACTCGAGTATGTCCGATAGTTGAAAAGCATTTACTGGGTTGGTGATGGTGCATTGCCAGGGGCCTCTTCTTGTTCTCCTACCACCCCTGTAGGGGCTTCATCCTGTTGTTCCGCCGAAGGCTCAGCAGATGAGACGGCGGGAATTTCAGCTTGAGAGTGAACTGGTTCTTGGGGAGGTTCTTGGGCAGAAGTTTGTGGTTGTTCAGACGTATGTTCTGGTGCAGTTTCTGGGGCAGTTTCTGGTGTGGGCTCTGCTACAGTTTCTGCAACGGGTGCCACTGGAGGCTGAGCCGTTGATTGGGAATTAGCTGCCTTCTGTTGTTCCTGGTCTGAGGTAGCTTGCACATCTACCTGTACCTCTGCCGCAGGTTCAGTAGACGATTCTTGAGGTCGGTCTTGGGCGACGGGTGGTTCTGTTGTGGCTTCAAGCAGAGAAGGATTTTCTGATGGTGTCTGCTCTGGGGCCGGTTCTTGGGGGTTCTGCTCCGACTGTTCTGTTATAGGTTGAGCAGTTTCGGTTTCTACTGCGGGCTCGTTTGAGGGGGGACGGTCCGGGAGAGTGGGTGCTTCGGGTACATCCTCTGATTGTCGATGTTCAGTAGAAGGTTGTGCTTGTTGCGCCGCGGAGGTTTCTGTGGCTCCCGCAGTAGCTGTCTGTTCTGCTTCTGGCGGTGTAAGTTGTTCAATAGGAGGCGCCGTGGGTTCCTTGGGAGTAGGATTGTTTGTTTCTGTAGTAGTTTCTGCAGGCTTGGGCTCCGCTGGCGCCTCCACGGGTGGTTGTGCCGGGACTGTTAGCTCAGGCTCTGATGCTGCCTGTTGACTGGCAACATCGCCCGGCTCTTGTTCCAGGGTTGTTTCTTTTTGCTCGCCAACTGGCGTGTCCTTGGGTGCGTTTTCCAGACTCGCTTCCAAGTTATCCAAGAGATCAAACTCGTTACTGCCCGACTGCTGAGGAGTGGAATCCGGTTCTTGAGCTTGACCTGCCAATGGGGGTTGTGGCGCTTCCGCTGAAATATCCATGCTCACTGGCTGATCTCGAGGGGGCTCAGGACCCGATTCATCTGGTTCAGCCATAGTCACATCCATTCGCTCCCCTGTCTGCTCACCAGTCGTTTCAGCTGTGGCAGGTTCCGGGGCCGGGGATTGTTTAGCTCCTTGAGAAGGCGACGGAGCCCTTCCCGTAGACGCAGGTTGAGCAGCGTCTGGCATTGTTTGTTGTTGTGTTTCTGAGCGCGTTTCCGTGGCTGGTATCGAAGAGGAGCGAAGGGCGTTATCTGTAGGCATGGAATCTGCCATTTCAATATCTTCTGTCTTAGCTTCAGTGGCCGGTGGTCCAGTATGTTGATCCGAGGGTGTAGAATTCGTCGAGCCAGGTGATCCAGCTGGAGCGTTCTCTGAGGGAGCTGCAGATGGTGGGGCTTCTACACCTGGCTGTGGCTCTGACTCCGACTCGGGCTTCGGCGGATGGGATGCCTGCGATTCTGTGGGTGTCTCTACCTTAATAGGCATAGGAGTAGATGCCTGCTCCGGTTCAGGCTCTGTGCTAGGTTGTGGACCAGGTGTCTCTGGAGTTTTGGCTTCCACGCCAGACTCGTCTCCTTCTCCATCATCGCTCTCTTCACCTTCCTCGCCCTCATCATCGTCCTCATCCTGAGTTGTTTGGTCTACTGACAATCGCGACGGATCTGTCTCCTTCCCGTAGTTTGCAGCGTTATCGGTAGCGCCCGCACCAGCGCCATGAACAAGCGATGCGTCCGCTCCTTCCCCCGGAGCAAACATGACCTTCTTTCTCCTACCCTTTAAGCCTTTGGCCTTGCGCTTCGGAGGCGGAGGCCGTCGTCTTGGCGGAGTAAGAACGGCCGCCGAGCCTGCCTCTGCAACCACTACACCCTGCGCATTGACAACGCCGACCCCTTCAATGACCGTCCCTGGAGCCGGCGCCTCGGGAGTCACGGTCGCTTGATTGTCGTCGGCAGTTACTTGACTATCGTCGGTGATTTCGCCTTCGATCTTATGCCCTTCAGGAACCCAGGCCGCGTAAATTGAAACATTGCCTGTCGCAGGGTCAACCTTCTTGAAGCGGGTTTTCCTCATTGGCACTGATCCATTGGCGCCGTCAACAGCCCCAGCCGTAGCACCATATAGAGACGGCAAACCCGGTCGCCTCTTTGCTAGGAATTCCAATTCTGGCGCTTCCAGGTGCTTAGGGACTGTGGCCCACTTGCGCATCGCAAAATTGCGCTCCAAATTCTGCTGCGATTGCTGTTCTTCCGGATCTGTCGCCTCCTTTTCCTCGTCATCAAGGTCCTTCGAAGCTGGGCGAATGTATATGCATCCAGAACGAGCGGCGCGTAAGAGCGCCCGGCTCATTGGACTTAGGAGATGACTATCTCTAGGCATTGGGTGCTCAGGAATAGTTTGTTTTCCGCTGTGCCCAGGTATTTCCGATTCTGTGCCTTCGGTTTTCGGCTCCTGCGATACTGTTTGGACCTGGCGCGTCCATCGCCGAATGGGTAGTCCTTCGAAGACATCGTGGTCAATCTGGCCGGTTCTGGTGCGATTGACACCATCGCCGAATTGGCGCCCAGAACGCGACGACCTAAACTACGCAACATTAGCAGACTGCTGGAACACACTGTGATCGCGGGTCTTTGTTCGCTCCAGCGGAGCGTGAATTGGACTTACTGTCGGGGGCATGGCGCGCGACCGGTGAGGCCCACCGTCTCCCAATTCACGTCCGATGAAAGTAGAATTGAATAGAAAAGGTGAGACCAAGAACAACAATTAGCGGATACACCCTACAATTCGTGCATTAAAGGGGTGGATTGAGATGGAGATATGAAAGTGAATTGAGTCTCCCGGCGGAGTTGAACGCCTGTCAACCTGAGGTGCCATGCGCGGGTCTCTCGGCACGTGATCTTTATCGGCACGAGGGCGAGAATTCATACGAACGACTCTGTATAATTTAGACTTGGTTTTGTATGTAATTCTTCGACTGAAAGTATGAGAGAAGATTGAAGTAAAAATGCGTAACAGGGCTAACCACAAGGTGGTTTCCAATAAAAGTACAGGTAATCTCCAGATCTATCCCCAACATCCGGCCAGCAACGAACTTGACACGGGGTGGCGCATATTTGTCTTAACGCCCACAATTTCAGCAGTAGATATCCGTGCGATTTGATCATGCATAGGTATTGTTATATTAGTCCCAACTGTAGAGACAATTAGCCATCGTTAAGAACGGGTGCAAATTAGAGATGATAGGTGAAGTCTTACCCGGTGTCCTTCTGACGGACGATGCCACCTTCTTGTCCACTTTCCTTTCCCTTTTCCAAGATATCAGGATTAGATTCATGAGAGACTTCATTGAATGCGATTCTTACCGTCTTTTGGCCCTCCACAACCAATTTATCCAATTGATAGAACTGGCTGATAACAGTTTGTCTCTGTAGTCGGGATTAGCATCCATTGCCGCGGGGAATGAATACCCGACGACCATCTGTCGCAACCCTGAATGCGAAGCAGATATCCGGGTAGTGGAAAGAAACGACTGACCTTCATCATTCGCAAATTCTGTAGACCATCCTGGATCAACTCTTGTACCCTCCGCGGCTCAGTCTCATTTTGGTGCTCCCGGAAACCATCCTTTGTCCGCCGAAGTGCGTACTCGCGGAAGTTGTAGTTCGAGAACTGAGAAGACTGACGAAGCAAAGATCGAAACTATGTAGTACATGAGAAGATTAATATACCGCCGCCCGCCTTTCGAAAATTGGATTGGGCATTGCATAGCACTCACCAGAGACCGCGCCTGGAAGGCAGTGTCCCGCGAAATAGAAGAGACAGACATTATGGCACACCTGGGTACTTGGGGAGTGGAGAGAAAAGAGTATTATTGAAAAGAGGAGGTGAAAGATACAATAGCCCCTCGATGTAAGGCCGGACTCTTGATCGCGAAGCGCAAAGTACCGGAATGGCGTTGGATAACTCCGATGCCAACGGTCAACCTTGACTGGAGGCCAATCGAAAAGCGAGTCTGTTCGATGGACAAGTTGAAGATTGCACGGAGATTATGCGGCTACTTTCCCCCTCGATAAAGATACTGTTCATGAAATATTAGTCGGAGGTTCTCACGGCGCGATCTAGGGTGGCGTTGAGGGACAAGCTCGATATAGGGGCGAGGCAGAAGCTCAGGAAGGGCTCAGTTGCAGAAAGATGGTCGCAGAAGGTACAGGCGGACTGGAAAAAGCGAGAAAGGTGAAGGTGGACTTACAGTATGGGGAGACTAGGCAGTTGAGTTGGGTATGCTGAGGAACAGGCTCGGGAAATTCTGATGCTTTTTTGGGTCAAGATGACGGAGTTATCGGACAGTCCAGCCGCCCTCCGCTCTGCACCTCCGCGCTTCTCCAACTCCAAGCCGCCCTCAGCACTTCGCCATTAACTTCACCTTCTTCAGTTTTGCTATAATCAATATAGGCTTCTAGCGAATTCACTCCATGACACAGCTCCCCACACCTCCAGTGTCCCGTCAGACCTCGGAGATTCCAGATGGCGAGCTCAAACAGCTTCAGATAGACGACATCCCGCCGGATCCCTCAACATCCCTCGATGCACTTCTTGAAAGATATCTTCACCTCCTCGATAAACATCAGAGATTGCAAAGTGAGCTATCATCAGAGCTCTCATCAGTATTTCTACCCAACTTCTCCTTGGGGACAATGGCTAAATGCAACATTAGGGGTTTCTTTCTCTTGCGCATGCGAACTATACCTGCCCCCCAGGTCGACGATATGGCGCTGATTACTATGATGAACGGATGAAGGCTTCAAGGAAAGTGTGAGTTAATGCCATATTGAGAACATGCAGCATTTTCACTTTCTGACTATTTGGTGAGGCTGGCTAACTGGGAATTTTGAACTAGGATATTACAGCCATCTTCGTCTACGGACCAAACAACCGATAACATTGAACTGGACGGTCCGCTTCCAGCCTCCACGCCTCCTCCGCAGATATTTACGGTTCGGACCGACACGAGCAGTGACGACGAGCAAGCCGAAACAGGTGACCAACCTGCGCTGCCAGAGCCAAATGAGATAGGCGTGGCACAAGAACCTTTGAGCGATGTGCGAGGCGACAACCACGGGGAACCTACTGCATCTTCTCAAGCATCCTCCAAGTCTCCCGAGACGGAGCCAGCATCAGATACGAAGCGCGAGCCCGCGAAACGGAAACCACATATTTTAGACCCAATAAAGTGGTATGGAATACTTGTTCCGCCTTCTCTTCGCAGTGCCCAGCAATCCTTCACTAAGGCGGTTGAAAGTAACTTGCCTGAGTTAGCGAGTGTCATGGTCGAGATGCAGACTGCAGAGAAGGAGATCTCTAGGCTGCGGAGGGAATTAGGACGACAATAATGAGGGTCCACCATATGCTCCAAATCATTGTATGAGCGTATTAATCCATCTCAAAGCTTTATCTTTCTCTTGGGCAGCGAGCCGCTTGGGTCTTGCGCTTTCGGTATGGTGGCATGCAGTGTGTACCACTTGTATAGGAGGAGCATTCTAGAAACATTTCGCCATAAGCTGAGGCCAATGCTGATCTCGGCCTGGGGTTCTCCAATAATAATTAGCTCCCTCCCTCCCGTAGTGGCTCTGGAACCGAGCACAAGATAAAGTCAGTCACATGATGGCGGCAAGACGACCAGGTCGGCTCTCGCCTTTTGATGATTGCGGGCCAGACGAGAGAGAGGACAACACTTCGTCGACGACATCGTCAGCTTCGTTATAATGCAAGACATTAGCCTCATGCAAACTGGTCGGCAATGGGAGCCCTTTTCGAAATGTGCCGCAATCCTGTTGGATGTCTCAAAATAATATATATTTAGTGTATTAAGAGACGGCATCGGGAACGAAACCATGCTAGTTCGCGAACCCAGCCTCCTCTCGTCCTCCTAATCTGCTGCGAAATTAGTTGGTCTTTGATCGGACCCTTCAACAATTTTGGTCAAAAACAGCAGAGGCCCGTTTCAATCATGACGGGCTTCTCCACAGTCCGATCGGGCATTTTACTTGAAGACAACCAACGATATGCAAGGCAGTGTTCATCACCCGCCTCTTAAGCGGCGGCTGGACAAAAATGCCCACCGAGAGAGACGGACGAATAATAAACAGACTCCATGCTGCTTTTCGTCAGCGTGATCTTTCCGAGTCTCGAACCCCCTGGTTTCAGATGGATTAATCTCCCGCTCGGAGTGGTGCCTCTTGATCAAATCTGAGACGTGCCGTTGTCTTAGTTGTCTCCACCGAGCCAATAGCCTCATCGTCCGCAGGCATGGCAATCAGACTGGCTCGGTTGGGACAGATCCAGTCGCTCTGGGTCACATCACCTGGCCAATCTATCGTCTTCGCTAAGCCCTTGGATGAAATGGTGTTGCAAACGATGAAACGTCGCCATCATCTCACTCTGGATCGAGGTCAGCACACGGCAGCGCCGATTTTAGATTCAGCGTCCAATCGCCCATCATGGACCTGGGAATCCTGTCCTCTGTATTTTTGTATTTCGAGCATTGCAGGTCAATATTCCAGACCACGCTGCCGAGGCCGAAACTGCAATCCTGCTGCTCGATTGCAGGAGACCAAGTGATTTGGGCCTTGTAATCCTTCGTGAGAGCTTCGGCGTTAGCCCAAGCCTTGGGGAGGTCTCCACTGACTGTTTCCAAAACCCAAGGTCCTAACAATCCGGGTTAGGCTGTGCACCTTCGACCCATGCACCGAAGGATGAGAAAATCGGCCGGTATCAACCTCGAAGGCTTGGTTTGAGGGTCTGTGACTTTTCGAAGTGGAAGAGTCTTTTCCGTCCTTTCATTACCCACCCGGCGTGAGGTACCTTCGTCCAAGTGAATCCATTGCTCTTTGGGTCACCCCGTTTGTTGCTCTCATTCTTTCTTTTTGACTTACCAGGCAAGAGCCGGCGGCTCTCTCGACTCTGGTATTGCTGAGTGAATTTGTGAGTTGTGTATCATGTCCGATTTTAACAATCTGGTTCTAACAACAGTTGCTTATGCTATTCAGGTATACTCACTTTGATAGACTGCCGGGTCTTGAGAAGTGATTATGCGATTGTGGTAGAGCCTTAACACTCGTTTCCCTTCTTTATAAACTTCATTGTGGTATGCAAATCTGCCCAGAAATCAAACGTTCCTTTGGCAGCCTTCAGGATAGCGTTGACAATTCTCAGAGGCATTGAGTGCCGTCCTTATCTTGAAGCAGATACATTCTTTCCAGTCCAGGGCTGCTGATTTTCAAGCCCTTTCAGTTCTATTATTCGCATTTATAAACATCACCAACAATAAAAGTTGCTGAGGTTTGACATTCGTCACAGTCATAGCGCCTTTTCGTCATTCATTCGCCGTCACCCCTGGACATCTCCTCGATCCATAGTTCGAGCTGGCCGTTGTTCACCCTTACGTTCAATCTATAGACCAGCGTTGGAAGCACTAGAGTATCGCTCAAGGTCCATCGTCGTCTCTACTCCATTCACCATTATTTAAATCACCGCTCTGATACCGATGGATTCAACTTCAAAATACGGCTGGTCCGGCCCTAGAGCCGCGGACACCAAGGGATCTGTCCGCCGCGCAAGGGAAATGTTAGAAGTTGGTAGACGCCCTAAAGTCCGAGCCCCTCAGGACAATTCAACGGTACCACCTCAACCTAGGCCGCGTATAGTTCCTCAACCAAACGCATGGCCATTGCTGGGTGATAATGAAGGCAAGCGCGCCAATATGGCTGATCCGCAGGGTCGCTTGTCCGGTATGGTTGATGCTCAAGGAAGGCTTCTGGTGTCCAGAGGAACTCCACCTCCCCGCCCAGCTCGACCTGACCTCCCATCCCCTTCGATATATTCGGAGAGGAGCGTTTCAGAATTCGCACCCAGCCCTTTGCACCCACAACAACGCCGTACGCCCTCGTTTTCTCAGCCATTTGTCAATCAACAAAACATCCACCCTGCACTACGAGAATCTGTGCCCGTTACAAACGAAGACATGCATAGGAAGTCTGCTACGTCATCTACAGGCTCTATTCCATTTATGACAGACTTCCCCCCGCCGCTTCCTCCGCAGAACAAAACGAGTCATCTCGCCCCACCGAACCCTATGCGTTCAGGCATGGATCGCAGGTCCTCCGTCTCACCAATTCCCGAAGAATTGCCTGATAGTCCAACCATACTGAACAAACCATATGGGCCTAAAAGAGTCACTGCGTCCAGTTGGAATTCCGAACAGCGGGAATCAGATATCTTAGGAGCATACATGGATGGCGATTCCGATAGTGCGCAGGGTTCGCCCGAACATGGCGAAGTGACTTTGGTTCGACAAGCTAGCCTCGGAAAACGAGGCAAACCTTCCTTGCGCACAATCAGCAAACCCAACGCTGAGACTCCTCAGCTAGCTGGAAGGAATGGCGAAACAGGAACACAGTCAGAACGGACAAATGATGCTAACCTGAAAGAAATCGTAGTTGGCTTGGCTACGCGCGATTCTTTTGGTTCGGATGCATCCAAGGAGTCAGGTATTGATCCTGAAAAACCACCAATCGTGATGGGAGAGGATATGAGTACACCCCATTCGTATGACGACAACATGAGGTCTCTTGGAATCGAGAACTTGCCTCAAAGGGCTCCAACATTGAGTGAGATGAGGCCAGGAGCGCGCCGACCGCCTCGCTTGAATATGAGCGCAGTTAGGGATGCTGAAGCTCGTGGTAGTCTGACAAGTCTGTCTGATTTGATAAAGCGCGCAACAAGACTCGCAACTAATCTCGAACATGGACGGACAGCAAGCAGGAATGA